ATGTAGTTATTCTAATGGCATAGTGCTTTTACTGTGCCTTTATTCGGGCTAATTCACTGAATATATGATGCCAGGACTCTTTTCTGGGCTTCCTCCGAGCATATATTGAAAATATTTAAAATGAAAACAGTGTATGAACATCGAGTGCAGAATACTCTCGTACTCCACGGACGATCTTATCCCCACAGAAAATGGAGTTTGGTGGTGGGAGGGAGCTCCCGTCTTTACAAAGGATCACAGCGTAAGAGTATGGCTAAACGGGCAGAGGATATGCTTTGACTGCTCCACAGGGTCATTTACGCTCGCTCTGAGCACTCTCCACGACATTAAAATGGGGATACTCGAGATATTCCTGGAGGAGAAGGGAATCCTCCAGAATGAGCTGATAGGGTACGTTTTCAAGCGGGTTGAGGACCTTCTGCAAGAAAGGAAGGACTCTGTGCACTACCTGAAGATTCTCCCGAACAATGACCCCATAAATGGATGGCTTTACAGCAAGAAAGCCCAGCCCAGAGAGTTTATTCCCAAGGAGATGGGATTTTTCCTGGCAGTTTCTGTTAAAATAAAAGCCTCTACAGACCCGCCAAGTACAAAAGCCAACGGCATATCCTTCCTGTGGGCGAGATTCCTTAAGAACGAGGCAATTGCTGGGAGAATATTCGACCTGCAGGAAGCCTTCTTTTTTCTCTTTCGGGACCTGCAGAATATTTCGGAGTTCGTGTACAGCATCCGGGAGTTATTCGCGTACTATGCGTACAGGGACTCCCTGGAGTTTCGGGAGATCCCAAAGTATCCCGGGAAGGCGGAGAAGCCCAGATTTTGGGAGAGAATATTCCGCCTCTTCAAGCCAAAGAGTGTTTCCGTTAGGCGGAGGATAGACTATTCCTTGTACCTGAAGGAAGTCCTTTCTGGAGAAAACCCGTACAAATGGCACGTTGAAGAGAGACTATTTTACACTCAGCACCTGAAAAATTACAGGTACGCAATTGCCCCGTATGGACACGCTTTCTTGAACCTGCACTCTCTTCTCAACGTGATAAAGAATAAGTTGGAGGAGTGCAGGTGCATGCACTGCGAGAATCCTGGGGTTGACTCTGAGGAGAAGTTCTTCCATCGCTTCACGGGGATTCCGTACGGGGATATCGTCCATGCAGCGAGCAAGTATCTGGAACACGTCATTTTCATAGATCGGGAGGAGAGTACGCTCTATATCACTTTTAAGGGTACTCTCCACAAAAGAGAGGCTCTAATAGATATAGACTATAAATATCACAAGTACAAGGGAAATCTCTTCCACAGGGGAATATTCAAGGAGTCAGAGAAATTCATAAAAGAAAAAGAAAAAGTCCTGGATCAGCTCATGATAAATAATAATCTGAAGAAAATACGGTTAGTAGGACAGTCCCTGGGAGGAGCACTTTCGATCCTTGTGTGGATGTTTATGCGGGAGAGTGAGACTCTCTCAAAATATAGCGTCTCTTCGATCGCATATTCTCCTCCTCCTGTTGTGAGCAATCCCTCGTGGTTCAGGAGGTTGGAGGGAGAGAAGTCGGAGGGAAACAAAATAACTGTCCTTATATACGGAAACGACATAATTCCGATGCTTTCCATGGGGGCAGTCTTTGAGCTCCGCCTTTTGGCTACGCATTTTTATGCGATAAGTGTCTCGAAGTACAGGAACAAGCACCGATACATTCACGCAGTTCTTCGGAAAATGAAAAAACACGGGATTGCAAAGCTTTTCATCCCGGGGGAAATATACAAAATACGGCATACTACGACTACACCGAGCACATTCTTAGTCAAAAAGACGCACTGGACGGAGTATAGTGCAATAAAGCTGTGGGCTAAGGCCTTTATGCATCACACGCCTGGAGCGATGATAAATGCACTGAATAAGTCACTGAAGTACTTCTACTCGCAGGAGGATCCTACGATGGAGATATCCAGCAGCCAGGAGGAGCAGGAATAAGGCGCTGGATGCAAATGCCCTGGATAAAATATATGAATATATGAGCAGCCAGAAATAAGCGTACATGTGGGCTGAGTGTGGATATGCGATGAACTATATATGCGATGAACTAAAGAATATATGATGAATAAATGAATTGAATATGAGTATATGGTGAATAAACACGTGAATATATGATGAATAAATGAACTGAATATGAGTATATGGTGAATAAACATGAATTAAAGAATATATGATGAATGAATGAACTGAATATGAATTGAGTATATGAGTATATATATGAACTATATATGCGATGAACTAAAGAATATATGATGAACTGAATATATGTATATAAGAACTGAATATATGAATATATGAACTGAATATGAATATATGAATAAACACGTGAATAACCCGAATATATGATGAACTGAATATGAATAACCCGAATATATGAACTGAATATATGTATATATGACGAACTGAACATGAGTATGTGAGTATGAATGTGAATAAGCATGAATAATACGTTGGAAAACCTGGTTTATTCGGATTTTCAGGGGAAATCACCCGTTAGATCCAGCAAATTCTGTGCGGTGGACCTATGATCTGCTGCCTCCAGGGCCTCCAGAAGCCTCCTCTGGTCTTTCCTTCTGACTAGGCAGCAAGTCCTCTCAACTAGCATCGCTGTAACTGCCATGTACACCGCGCAAACGTAGAATTCCGGCATGAAGAAGACGGAAAACTCGCTTTCCAGCCCGAGAGAAAGCACGAAAAAGAGCACGGAAGCAGCAACTGCGCAGAAGGAGCACCAGACAAAAGACTCCGCCGAGTAGAAGAAGTAGCAGAGCGTGGAGATGAAGAGGCAGAGCGAGAAAAAGCAGCTCACAATTTTGTGTCCTGCCAGGTCTCCACTCCCCCCTAAAACATCAATTCGCCCGAATATGCTGTAAACAACCGCAAAAGAAGCTGCCCCGTACAGTACGCCCTGCAAAAAAGCGTCAAAAACAGACGGTTTTAGACACTTTCTTCTGAAAATTCCCATTTCAATGGAGAGGGGGGATGTGAGAAGAGAGTTGAAGAAAAGGAGGAAGATGGAGGAAGGCGCCATCGACCCTGAAGCTCCCACGATTGCCCCGTAAGTGCACTGACACACGGAAACACAGATGCTTTTGAAGACGAAGAAGAGAAAGACGCTTTTCAGCCTCCCGAAAGCATTTGGCCCGTGGAAAGCGACGAGTCTCCCGAGGCTTTTGAAGGAGGGAACGACCAAATCCGAGGAAAGAGCAGGCTTGCTCGACTCAACTCCGCAGACGCATATTCCAACGTCTGCCTCCTTTATCATTTCGATGTCATTTTCCCCGTCTCCAATTGCAAGGACTATTTCCCCCATTTTTCTGAGGGAGTGAGCAATTTCTGCTTTTTCTTCGGGGGAGCATCTGTAGACGATGACGGAAGACTCTTTTGCAAGTTTTGGATTTTCCAGGAGAATCTGAACGATTTCTCTGCCTGCAAAAACTTTGTACGGATTGTACTGCATTCCTGAGGAAATTCCGCAGGAAATGGCGCTTTCTTTCCTGTCTCCTGTGAGCATCCACAGTTTAACGCCTTGGGAGGCGACTTCTTCGACTGTTTTCTGGGCGTGGGGCTGGAGCTGGTCCCGAATGTAGAGGGTTCCTGCGTAGGAAGAGGCTTCTTCGCAGTGCAGGAGGAAGGAAACCGGCAGTTGGAGGGAATTCCACGCGGAAAAAGCCTCTTCTTCAGGGTCTGAAAAGGAGGAAATTACGGGGGATCTTTTGGGGTTTTCCCGGAGGATTTGGATAAGTTCGTGGAGTCCCTCGCAGGAGCAGCCGTTAGAACCTGAATTTTCCACTTCTTCCCGGGAAAGTCCGCATTCTGGGCACTCTCCAGAGTGGAAGCTCTTTTGGAGGTAGTCGAGTACGTCTTTCTCGGAGATATCGTGTGCTGCCATTGCGAGAGACCTGAATTCTCCGCTGACTTCTGGAGCTCCCTCGCACGTAACGACTTCGTTGGAGCCTTTTGTAAGCAAAAGAACTCTTCCCAGGCCCATTACAATAACGCTCATTCTGGAAACAGCAGCAGAAAACGGTATTTTCCCAAGGACAAGGAACTTCCTGGGCCTTCCACGGACTGAGAGCGTGACTTCAGTCTCTGTTCTCCCTTCAAGGAGGAATCCTGCGCTTTTAAGGCGCTCTAGCATGCAGACTTCCTCCTGGGAGATGCCGATATATTTCCCGTCGACGACATCCACGGAGTGGCAGAGCAGGATTGTAAGTGCTGCAAGAAAAGGCGCCTCTCCTGAAAAAAAGGAGTCCTGGAGACCTGAAAAATCAGCATCTTCAGGCCCTGAAAACCTGAAATTTTCCAACGGTTCTTCAAAAAAACAGGGGGACATTTCAAGCGGAAAATGGACTCCGACGAAGTGCATTTTGTTCATTGTGAGGGTTCCTGTCTTGTCGGAAAGCACGTGCGAGACCAGGGCAATGTCTTCAATAACTCCGTGAGAGTTGCACTTTGGGCTGTTTTCTGGGTCTTTCATTCCGGGGTCAGTGTGAATGAAAGTGGAGTATGCTATGCGGAGGCCATCCAAAGTCACGAAGAGGGAAAGCGGCACGAGGCTGCTGAAGATGAGAATGTTCGCTGTAATTGCCCGCAGTCCGTGACCCAAAAAGGATGTATTTGCAGGCCCAAGAAGCCACTCGCTTTTTCCGATAAAGTACCCGGACGCCACGGAAGAGGCGAGCAAAAGCGCAGCGTATGCAGCCAGAACGTACGTGACCAATCTGGCTACTTCCGCCATGAAGAGAGACTCTTTTATGCGGGTTTTCAGGGGGGGTGATTTTTTTGTGGGCAAAGCGAGGCCCAAAACCGTGCACTGCGAGAAAAGAGAGGCACCAGCCGGGGCGAAATTTTCATCTGAGCACGGATACGTCTTTTCCTGGGCGTGTCCTGAGGAGAGAATGCGCAAATTTCCAGCGTAAATCTCGGAATATTCGCAGATTATTTCTTCAATTTTATCAATTTCATCTTGGAGCAATTTTCCATTTTTTCCAATTTTCAGGATGGGTTTTTTCACCTTCAGGGCGCTTTCTCCGTTTATTGCGCTGGTTTCTATGTAGACTTCTCGGAAGCCTTTCTCCAGGCCTTCTGCGTATGCCCCCAGCAAAAACAGGTCCACCGGAAAAGGGTTTCCCCCCTGCAGGAGTATCCTGTCCCCGGGATTTATATCTTCTCTGGAGATTTTCGCGAATTTCCGATTTCTAAGCGCCAAAACCTGCTGTTTATTAACTGCCTGATCGAGGGAGAACTTCCTAAGCTCCTGCACGGCTGTCTTAAGGATGCTAACGGCAATTGTAAAGAGCACGCACACGATATACCAGGACCTTGAAAAAGATGTGAGGTTTTGGAGCGAAACCACAGCACAGAGCGCGAGAAAAAAGACGTTGAAGGACTTCGTGGCCTCCCTGAAAAGTCTCGCGGGGAGAAACCCAGCGAGGGAGTGGGAAGTCGTGGAAACTGCGTTGCAGGCACGGGCAAAGTGCTTCGGGGTGCAAACAGAAAACATGGAAAAAAGAAATGCGGGGAATAAAAATGACCCAGGAGAGAATCGAACTCCCAACCATTCGATCTGGAGTCGAAAGCGCTACCTTTGCGCCACCGGGCCGCCTTCTACTGAACCGAAAAACCTTCTCGGATTCTCTCTCTGTGTTTATATAAAAGAAAACAGAAAAAGCAGGAGATGGTTTACGGGCAGGGGGAGATGGACGTGATATTCGGGGAATTTAGTGAAAAATTTCCGGGGCTTCTTCTTGCGGGAAATGAAGAGCTGGTGCGAAGTGTGCCCAGGGCCCTTGAGTGCAACAAGTACATAGAGAGACTGCGGCGAAATTAGCAGGTCTATTGTGGGAGTGTTATTCGGGATATATGCATTAAAAGCCAGCCTATTCATGATATTTCTTCTGCTATTTGCTAATTCTGTGGTGTTTTAGAGGCAATTTAGAAGCGAGTGGGTTCTGGGAGCCAAATACGAGTGAACTAGCCCGGGCATGGGTAGAGGATGTGCTAGAATTCAGTCAGCTATGCTTGCATTGTTATTTCAGCTAAGAACTAGTCCACTACAGTAAGTTATGAGTGAAATATAACTAATAGTTAGCTAGTATTTCAACTACAGTGAGTTATGGGTGAAATATAAATATGAGTGAAATATAAATAACTTAGCTAGTATTTCAACTATGAGTGTGACTTATGAGTGATTTATTATTTCAGCTGTTAGCCAAATACTCAGTGAATTATGAATGAACTATTGGGTTAACCAGCACTTCAATGACGACTGAACAATGGCTGAACTATGAGTGAGTTTCTGGGACGCAGGCTTCTTTTACGGTGATGAAGACGACTCCGTTCGTTTCCTCTGAGCAGATAATGCACTTTGTCGACTGCTCTATGAAGCCTCTGGCGCACTCGTAGCAGAAAAAGTGCCTGCAAACGGTCACGCACTGGGCGGATTTGCAGCAGAGAGAGCACATTTCCTTCTCTATCACAGTATCTCTCCTGTGGGGATCTGGGCAGTTTTCTCCGCGTGGACAGTGCCCTGTTTGCGCGAAGTTTCGGCAGTTCTTCATCTCTGAAAAAAGTGCATTTTCCAAGAAAAGTCTTGGGCTGATTTTTGGGCTTTGCAACAGTGTTTCAGGAACCTCATATATTCCACAATTGGAGGACGGGCATGTATAGTCTAAGCACTACTCTTTTGCTGCTGCATGGCTCACTAACTGTTCTCTCTCTTTCCGTTGCAAGGAGTGTCTGTTTCCTGCAGGAGAAAAATAAAGAAGTATTCCTGTTCCTGCTGCTTAGCAAAATTTGCTCTTTCTTCCTGTTCTCAAAGGGCACTCTTCTTGGGCGAACTATTGAGCAAAAGTATGCTGCTTTTGTGACCGTTTTCGAGATACTTTCTGGAGGGTATTTGTCGCATGTGGAGAAAATGCGGGTTCTTGACGCTTCTTTGCTCGTCTTCGTGAATGGGCTTTCCCTGTGGGGGATACTCGCGGGAATCCACAATACGCACATGCAGGTCCCGTATAAAACGCAGAGAAGGCTTCTTTCCGGGGAAATGGAGATTTTATGCTACAATATAACGACGGCTGGGGAGATACTTCTCTTCATATCGCAGTTCGCCTGCACTTTGTACATAATATCAGAGACCCCCGTTGTTTCCAAGGTTGTAGTTTCTGTTTTTCTCCTGCAAAGTATTTGGGGGTCTGGAAGGGCGCTGATATTTTGCAATGTAATGGCGAACCTTTGGGCGTTCAAGGACGTTCTTATCTCCCCGTCTATGTGCAGCATATCCCTGTTCGTCTCCAGCACGGCCACTTTGGGGGCTCTCCTCGCAGGAAACTACCTCTCCTGGAGCATGCGAAATCCCACTGCGCAAAGAGTGACTGTCGAGTGAGGAGGGGGCGGGGTTTTCGGGGCTTTTCCTCCTCGAAAGTGAGCAAGCACGCAGAGGAAGTCGCACGCGCAGATACCACATATATGCGAATAAACACGGCCTCATTTTAACGGAATATCCACATTTTTCCACAAATATTTATTCAAAAGCGTACACTTTATATATGCACGTGTACTCTTTTCGTCCGTGGTTGGACTTTATCCGGAATATTATGCCGGTACACGCCGTTGGAGGAATTGGAAACTGCTGGAAAGAGTCCCCGGGAATTTCATACTCGAAGTCTCCCACGTGAACCTCTCTCCCGCCCACCAGGCAGTCCACGGAGAAGTTCTTCACTGCAGAGGACCTGCTGTCGTACAGGGGATGAGCTATTCCCACTTTCTGTATGATTTTCTCGTTTTTGAAGGCAATTCCGAGCTTCCCCTCAGAGCCTGCGAAGGAGTAGCAGTGGTGCTTGTCTATTATCCGGTCGATAGCTACTTCTGCATTCAGGCCTTTCGTTGACTTCCAGAAAGGGAACTTCCGCACAAAATATGCCTCCGTTGAAATGTCGTGCATGATTCGGGCACCTTCCAGGTAGTCGGCAACGTCAACTTCCTTGTACTTGCTGTTGAAAAGTGCCTCCAACTCGCTAACTTTCCTGGTTATTTCCGCTGCCCGCTTTTCGACGGTGCTAATGTGTGAGAAACAGTTTTGGTTCACTCTGTAGAGGAGGTACCCTATAAACAAACAGCTAATTAAGGACCAGGCAAAGAGCAGATGCCGGAACAGGAGACCCCATTTCTCTCTGTGCTCTGAAACGCACTTTTTCCGTGCGTTTTTCTCTTTGGCAAGGTCGTTTTCCCCCTCGGACAGGTCGTCATTGGAAACCAGTTCAGAGAGAGACTCCCCCTCGCTTGTGCACTCTTCCTCTGGGCTCATTTCCGGACTTTCTTCCTTCATCCTCAGAACATCTTCCTTCTTTTGTATTCTTATAGGCCTTCGGTTTTCCATGAAAAATGAAAAAGAGAGAAACAAGAAGAGAAATAGATTTACTTTCCAATATCCCGCGAGTTTCTTCCGGAGCGGTGCTTCCCCTGCTGAAAAGCATGGAAAAGTACTCGGTGGACTACAACGGCCTAATGGAGGAGTACGAGGGCGGGGACAGAAGCACGAAGTACCTGTTTCTTCTCGCTGGAAACAACGACCCAGCTGTCTACCAGCTAATCCCCCTGTTTTGCAAGCACTTTGGGATTTCCGTGTACATTGTGGAAGAGTTTGTGCGCATAAAAGAGAAAGTACCTGTTTTTATCCGGGTAAAAGACGGGGACGCGGAGGAAGACGCACTTTTGGAGCGCCTGAAGGCGTATGGGTGTGCTTAGGCGGGTTTTAGCGCGGTTTCTCGCGTAGACATGCAAAAAAGCGCGAATTTTACCTCTTTTCACCATCAAAATGATCTCTGCTCAAACATGAGATCCGATAGTTTGGAGTGCGCAATAAAAACAGGAAGTTCTCTTCACAGCTCTTTTTGCACAGCCGGAAACAAGCCTGATTTTGGCGATTTGGCGATTTGGGAAGTTCAAGAAGAAATTTGAAGAAAAATTGCAGGGAAGGCCCTTCCTAGAAAGAGAAGACGCCGGAAAGTGGGAAAACAGGCAGCTTCATTTCTTCGAGTGGGAAAGCATGCGGGATTCTCTGGACACTTCTTTTTAATGGCGTTTGGTGAGGCCGTGTTTTTAGGGGGGTTTTTCCAGGCAGAAAAGCGAAATTCCGCTGCAGCTACTGGAAGAATGCGATGCAAGTGTCTGGAAGTGGGCTTTGTGATAGGCCTGTAGCAAAACAGTGTGTCGGCGCCTAAATAAAGGCAAGCGTAAACAAACGGCAATGCTCGATAGAAAACACATAGTGCCAGAAATACACGGAAAAAACAAAGAAACAGAAGAAAACAAAGACGATTTGGAAAGCTCTTTTGACGCATGCCTGAGCAGGCTCGAGGACTTGCGCAACCAAATATCCTCGCCCCAGGAGGCACAGTCTTCTCTGGAACTGCAACTTGAAACGCTGTTTCAGTCTCGGGGCAGCAAAGTTCTCACGGACATGGAGAGAATTGCGGTTATTCTGTGCCGAATTGCACACAAAATCATACGGAGCGACTCCCTCTCGGATACTGACTACTCAGTTCTTCTGCAGATATTTGAGCTTGGCCTTTTTCTCGCGCAGTTTAAGGACCGGTGGCTTACTCACCTGAACAAGACAAACGCCCTAACAGCGAACAAATGGGAGGCGCAGAAGGAGTTTATGCACGTAGGCGCCCTTCTATCGCCTGCTAGAGAGCTTATTTCGCTCGCTCAGGAGTACATTTTGAGGCAGCGCGTGCTTTTGGGAAACAGGTGCGATTTATGCGCGTATTCCCTCGCAAACATCAGCGGAATATACATGCCCAGCCTTTCCCTTCTTCTACAGAGCCGGAAAATGGAGTTTTCCCTGAGCGGGCGAGGCTCCGAGGGCCTTCTTCCCCTCGACTATTTCTACTTTCTCATGTACAACCTTTCAGAAAACGGCCTTGAAAAAAACAAAATACTCGTCGAGTGGACAAAGAAATACCAGCACGAAATTGACGGGGGCCTTTTCTACCTGCCAAATATAGATGTGCAGCAGTACTTCAGGGCAGAAGTTAGGCGAATTCGCGACTTGGCAGCTGCTGTTGCCGTGGTAAGAGCAGCAAACTCCCACGCTCTTCTCGTGGATGCTGACATTGTCCTGCAAAGCCACAGAAGAGGGAAGCTTTCCACGCGGCTTTTCCTGGATCTTCTCGTTGAAACGTACACGAAGGGAGAGTGGGACTTTACCGTGCAGATCCTGCAGGAAGTTTCGAAGTATAATGCAGTTGCTTCCGAGACAATCACAAAGTCTCTCATAATAATAGCAGAGGCCACAGAGCTGTCGCTGTACTTTTTCAAAAGCTCGTTCATCATCGACAGAGACTACGCGGAGGCCTGCATGCTTTGCATAGAGCACTTCCACTACATCTCCAGGGACATGCTGAAACTTCTCTGCAAGAGCGACTACTTTGGGCTCCTGTGCGTGGAAAAGGAGGTTTTCCAGAAAATCACAAAAACCGTTGCAGAGATGCATTGCAAGGAAGTGGTCGTTAAAAAAGGCGCTGAAACTGTGACTGCGATAGGGTGGGATGTGCTTGAATTCTGCAGGAGGGTCTTTGCGGTGATGAACGTCTCGATTGGGGCGCTTGAAAAGGGCCTAATTCTAATGCTTTACTTCCCCAGCGCGAGCGCAGCAATAAAAAGACTCGTGTGGGACGAGGTTGAGGCAAAGGGAGTCCACAGGGTGGCCGAGGCGGTGGATAAGATCATTCCTGCGCTCTCCATATGCACGGGCCTGGACCTCAAAAAGCCCGAAAATGCACATTTCGACCCAGCAAAAGCCCCAAAACCGTTGCTGGAGGAGGTTGAGAGCCTGATAGACGTGCTGAACCACTACCGAGAGATCCCTGCGATACAAAAACAGCTTCTGCGGATGTGTAAATACACGGGAATATTCCCTGTTTTGGCGAATTACACTCCGGACGTTTTTGCAATAACGTGCATACAGCGGGAAATAAAAAGGCTGCGCCCAAACATAAAGGAGCTGCACAGTTTCCTGATGCAGATCAAGGAAAGAGGGGAGCTGCACAGTGGGTCGTACTGGATAAGCCAGGCAAGGCGAAAAATATCGTTGGGAAACACTATCAGGTCGCTAAATTCGATTATGCTGCAGGAGGACATGCTTCACACGCTTTGCAGCGAAGAAGACATTGTGTATCTGCTTCGCTTGGTGAGCAAAAGGCCGATACCCGACACTGTTCTGGCGGCTGCCCTCGTTGAGAAGCTGGAGGCTGACTCTTTGAGCGACTCTGGGCTTGTCATGGGAAGTAACTCAGCAATAAGTTTCACAGTTCCGTGCAAGCCGCTTTCCGTCTACTTGATGATGACGCAGAAGGAGTTCACCGGCAGGCAAAGCCTTCTAAAAGTGCAGGGAACGAACTCGGAGGCTGAGCTCTTCATTCAGGACGGGGTTATGCTCTTCCGCACGAGAAAGCCCGTTAAAACCTCGGAGGAAATAGTTGAAGAGGTCGAGTATAAAGTTTCCTTCCCGAAAGAAGAGGGAAATGCGAAGGTGCAAAGTGCAGGAGGCGGGAGAGTGGGCTGGAAAATCTCCTTGGGCGTGCACGTGAACAAGTACGAGTGCCAGGTATACATGGGATCGTCCGTTGTGAAGATCCCGCACGGGGTGAAACCTGTCAGCATGGTGGTGGGAGAGGAGTTCCGGGGAATTCTGAACCGCGTCCTGGTTCTGGAGGAGATATACAAGAGCGGAAGACTCTGCAGCAAGCCAAACGATCTCTACTACGTTGAAACTTTAGTGGAGATTGAAAAGGCCTTCCAGTACTACAACAAGTTTGGGCTGCTGATTGACTCTTCTGTCCCGTACCTGGTCAGCGGAAAGTCGAAGGTTCGGATGGTAAACACCTTCCAAAGCGCAAGCAGCCAATGGAGGGCGAGCGAGCGCCTGTGCAGGTTTATTTCAAAACTCTCAGCAAAGCATTACCAAGTAGAAGATGCTCTCCACAGCAGCTTGCACCCCCTTGAAAACCTGCATGAATGCTTAAAGTAGCTGCAAGCGCAATAAATGCATACCGTGATTTATTATGGAAAGTCCGGGCTGAAATTGCGATATTCCAGGTTGGGTTAGGCTTTATTGTATGCTGAAAGCATAGTTGCTCCTAAATTGGTTATTGCTTGGATGGCCTAATTAAGTAGCTACATAACTTAGATGTCAAGGGATAGATTAAACCTGTCTATATAAGCAGGGCGAGAAATAATAAAGGCCATGAATTTCACTAGCACTTCCAGTTTCAAGATTTGATTTTAAGATTTCAATTTTATCTTTGATTTTGTAATTTTAGGAGTTATCTTTGCATTTCAATTCCAGTTTTAAGATTTGATTTTCATTTCCAAATTCAGGCTTGACTTCCAAGTTCAGCGGATTTTCAACTTCATTCTTGATTCTCACGTGGATTTTGGTGCCTGGGCATGGAGGAAGCACCTCCAGACTCTGCCAAACTCTGAATGCCTGCATGTGTGCCCTGCAACGGGCCCAGATCTGCCAGCTTAAAACGCCATTTTGCAGCAGAACCTGAAAGAAACCCTGCTGAAAACTGCTTCTAAAACGGGGCAAGAGCATCTAGCACGCGCAAAGCTGCCCTGCCTCTATTTCCCGTTTCGCATTTCGCACCGGCTGTAGTGCGCCAGCGCCCTTACAAGAACGCCCTCTGAGAAGGCTTTTCTGTAGTGCAGCGTCTCCGCAGAGTATAGCAAGTAAGGAGATTCCGTTTTAAAAACGGAAACATCCGAACAAAGTATCACCACATCTGGGAAAATAGCCCTATTCTCCGATATAAACCGCGTCATTTCTTCGTACGAGATCTTTTCGTCCGCGCCAGTCAAAAGCTTCAGAAAGCTTCTGTAGTCATCACTGGCTCTGCACTCCCCGCGTGCAAACAGCTCTACTCCGTACTTTTTTGCAAGGCTGTCCAGAAAACTCCCAGAAACAGGCCCATACTCGCTTATAACGTAGATGCGCAAAGGCCTTTTTCTGGCGGATATGCTCTTGCTTATTCGGGCCTGGATTCTGCTGGACTGCCAGGCTTTAGCGAAAACTGCAGGCAAAATAACACACAGAACAGCAAGTAGCACCATACCATAAAAAACAAAATGTGCTAAAAAGAAAAACCTCCTGCAAGCCCGGCAGGTTTAGCCCCTCAAATGGACTCTTGTGGAAAGCATCGTTTATTCTTGTGCTCGCTTATTTCTGCAGCTTCTCCAGCTTTACTTCTACAAAGCATCTGTACATCTCCTTCTGCTTCTTCCTGTTCAGCACAAGCTTAGTCTCTTCAGCGTACTTTACAACTCTGAACATCCCAGAAGCGAGGGCTTCAAGCCTTTCCCGGGTGAAATAGTACACATACGTGCTGTCTCCTCGCACGTAGAAGTTTTTCTCAAGTGCCTGGTGCTCCTTAAACCGCAACTGCGTCAGGTCCATCTCGTAGTAATCCTTCAGTATGACTATTCCGCCCTCTGCAAGACTTCTGTGAATAAGCCCGAATATGCGCTCGTGGGCTGACGGGTGGATTGCGGAAAGAGTGTATATCAGCAGAATAATGTCTGCAGAGCGTATTTCCTGGCCGTTTATCACGACACTCTGCATTTCTGTGATATCCCCGTGCGAGAACTGGCTTTTAATTTTCGGGACTCTCTCCTGCAGAAGGCCAACTGCAGTCCGAGAGTAGTCGACTCCAAAAATGTTCCTGCATTTTGCGGCATCTGCTTCCTCCATGAGAATTGCACTCTCTGCGCTCTTTTCCGCACTCTGTGGGTCCTCTGGGCTGATAGTTTCTCCGTGCATTTTCTGCAAGTAGTCGCTTTTTCCGCTTATTCTCTCCTTTATAATGGGAATTAGCGTGCTTCCAGTTCCGCAGCCCAGCTCCAGTATCGTATTTGAGTGCACAAGCGTCTCCGGGTGCTCTCTCGAAATCCACTGCCTCTCCTTGAAGAAGGACCGGCTGTACTTTTTGTAGAAAGCGTCCCAAGGCTCGTACGTTATCTCGTGTCTCTGCGCCGCATTTTCACAGTCTTTCTCTATTTTTTCCCGCGCACTCGCCTTGTACGCCTCTGGCATTTCTGCCTTGTCCCAGACGTTGTATTTGTACTTGTCGTCTTCCTTCGTAAGCACCCGCATAACAGCTGAATAAAAACAGAAAAGTTTTCGTCTTTATTTGCGCGCTTCCAGAGCTTGGAGGGGAATAATTGAAATTATAAATTCCAAAAACTCAGATTAGTTTGGTTTTTATCAGATGATTTTTTTCCAAATCCTGCTAGCATCCAGGTTTATCAGTTTGATGGATGAAATGTGCATATAATAGCCGCGTGTTTTGGGAGCATGTTCTATCCGGACGTGTTCCTGTACCGAGATAGCTTGTTGTACAGAATGTACGTGCACTCTTGCATGAAAAGGGCAAGCACAGCAGTCCCCGTTGAGTCAATTCGCGAGTGTCTGGAAGCAGTTTTACAACACGACCTTTCTCTCCGGCTGCAGTCTAAGCTGATGGTCTCCATTGTGAACACTCTGCTTCTGCACTACAAGAGCATGCTTTCTTCGATCGTTAAGTCCCTCGCGGGGAAAGCTCCGGCGCTGAAACCGTCGCAAAATAAGGTCTCAGCGAGCGTAACGTGCCCGTACAACTTGGACATTCTGTGCAGGCTCATTAGCAAGCCCCGCACTGAGTCCCTGGAAGAAGTAGAGTGTGTTCGGGGAGGGTCTAGCATCTCTGTGGACGGAATAACAGTCGCTGTTTCAGGCACTCCCAGCGAGTTCGGGCCTGGCTTTCTCGTAAGCGGCCCTGCCAAAAGAGTTAAGCTCGACAGAAGCATCAATATAGCTTATTTGCACGTTTCTGTGCCGCCTTTCCAGAGGGAAAAGTGGTATTCCCGCCTTGTCAAGGGCCTGGTTTCCGTTGAGGAGGGGCCGGACCTGCCTGGCGACATATCCTCCATCGAAGCTGTGAGAAGATACTCTTCTGACAGGTCCGCAGACGACCTAATATTTGCCGAACCGCCAGAAAGTGCGGAATTTACCCAAATTTCTTCCGCTGGAAGGGCCCCTGCACCAGGGACAAATCCGAGAATATCCGAGTTCATAGGCCTCCTCTACGAAATCTCCGAGGGCAAGGCTTCTGCCGTGCAGGCTGTTCCGTACGGGAGGATAATACGGATATAGCCGACGAATAAATTCGCATTTTTTGTTCCAAAACAGTTTTTAAAGCGGAAAAGTGCAGGTGTTCGGGTTTCAAGCGCAGAAAACAGCGCAAAGAGACTGTGTAGCTGGAAGTCTTTATTCATGCAAAGCCTGCAAAAAAGCAGTCGGTTGTCTATTGGATTTTCTTCAGCTCAATCATCGTAAGCGGGCTGTTTATCTCAAAGCACACGATAATTGTAAAGACAATAGAGAGGAATAGGAAAGCAGCAAGCATAAAAGCATAGCGAAACAAAAGGCCGTGAACAATCCGAATCTTATAGTAGAGCCTGATCCCGGCCTCATACCCCTTCTGAGAAAGCCACTCTGCATCTTTTATCCCTCCTTCTTTTATGCGGGAGTACATTCTCTCCAGCGGATAGGATTTTCTTACCATGCACATAAGATCATCAATCTGCGAATTTCTTTGCTCTTTGATTAGGTCCAAAAGGTTTAAGTGGATCCCTTCCAGGTCAAAAATAGCCGAATAAAACCCGTAGACGTACTCTTCCCCCGACAGGAAGTCTCTAGACGGGTTCCAGGCGTACGTTATCGCAGTTTCGATCGATTTCTCCCAGTCGCTCTCCTCAATTTTGAAGTCATTGGAGAAGAAAGGGCACAAAAGCTCGTAAAGAGGGCCTGATTTGAGGCCGCTATCGCCATGATTGCGTATCATGGCCGAGCAATGGAGCACGCTCAAAATCCGATCTGCAGTGGGCCCAGACTCTAAGTAGTAGTACATGGCTTCTGCGTCTTTTTCTGTGAGGCCAAGTTCGTCAAGCCGAGACTCAACTGTGTGATTTTCTGGGTTGAAATTGGACAGTTTTCCTGCGAAGTTTTTGAGTATCCTGAGAGCCCGGGATAGTCTGCACTCTCCTGACTCGTCTGCCTCCAGAAGGCGGCTTGTAGCGATTTTGCACACTTCTTCCGCCTGGATATAGGAACTCGAGTTCGTGCAAGAAGCCGTTATTTCGGGGTTGGTAAGTTTTGGGTGCAACAAATAGTACGCTTTCAGTGCCTGCTTTGCATTGAGCTTTATGTAGTTCGACATTTCATCGCAGTTGAGAAGTATCGTAAAAACGAAATTATTGCACAGAATTCGGTAGTATTCCGAAGGTCGGGCTGCACGGGCAGCGAGGCTGGATACTTTCGCCCACACGTTTTTTGCGTCATCATACGCCATTTTTATCTCGTCCTCGTACTTGCTGTACTCATCTCCTTTCACAGAAATGCTGTCCTTTGCGTGGAAAGAGACTCTGTGCAGAAAAATCCATTTTAGAAGCTCTTTTTTCTCGCCTTGCAGGGCAGGAAGGTCTTTAAAATCATCAAAAATCTGGGCAGCACATTCCAGGAGCTCATGCTCTATCCATGCAGGCACACTATTCTCAGGGATTCCGGTGTTCTCAAACTCTCCACTATTTTCGCTTTTACTCGGCTGTGTATTCAACGTATCCATTTTTAAGCAAAAAAAAACACGTTTTCTTGCAAAATTCTAGCAGCAAGCATTTGGCACTGCAAAAACACAGCTCCAGAAAGCTGTATCCGGCCAATGCTCTGGGAATGCATGCCGTAAAAACCTCCGTAAAACTGCTCTCTGCGAAAACCTGGAAAAGTTCGCTCTCAAAGCCCTGCAAGTATCCAACGCAAAAGTGCATAACTGAAATATGGCATCGAGCACATAACTCCGGAAGGAATACTCCAAAATGAGCACACTTTTTTCTCTTTGAAAATCCCGGAAGTATCCGAATCCCCACAGGGAGAACGCGCGAAATTATTTTTGAGTTTATAAAAATAATATTTTTACCCCCAGACGAATGCAGGACTTATTAACGACTACGCCGCTGGTGAAATTTATCGCAGTAAAGAAGACAAAAAGAGAGTTCAACCGCTTCCAAAGCGACCAGTTCAAGAGACTGAGCAAGTCCTGGAGAAGGCCAAGAGGTATTGACAACAAAGTAAGAAGAAGAGTGAAGGGAACTATGGTTATGCCCACAGTTGGTTTCAAAGCAGACAAGCTTGTTAGACACCTTCTGCCAAACGGCTTCAAGAAAGTGATCATTTACAACATAAAGGACCTTGACGCGCTGGTTTCGCTGAACAGAGTGTACTGCGGAGAAATTGCCCACGCCATTGGAGCCAAGAAGAGAATAGACATCATAAAGAGAGCGGCTGATTTGGGAGTAGTTTTAACAAACGGATCGGCCAAGGTGACTGTTCAGAAGCTCGACTAGTTTATTCGGCCAATATGCACATGGCACTGCAGGAATAAAGGATTCGGCACAAATAGCTATTTTTCGGGCCTGTTATGTGCGGGTTATTCGCACGTGCCAGAACCTGTCTTTTTTTGAGAGGAAAATTGTAACGGCATTTGGCCCTGCAGCGACGGGGAAAGCGCTTGTGTATACGTAGTCGATTGGAGGAGTACCTTTGTGCGTGCTTTTTGCGCTTTTTTCTCGCGGGAATTCGGTGGAAATCGAGAGATTTTTGGTTTTCGAAAACTTCAGGGCAGAAGACCCCTCTTTCGGGGGAAGGCACTTTAGAAGGTCGATGCATGCTTCTGCATCAACAATTGAGGAGTGCGATGCGCCTTGGATCTCCCTTTTAAGATGCGAATTCGCCAGGCTTTTCAGCTTGTACCGGTGGTGGGTTTTGCTGTTGTAGAGCAAAGACGTGTCGATGAGCTTCCTGTGGAATACGTTCATGGAAAAGAGGTCGTGGGAAATCGAGTGCCCTACAAGCGTTGTGTTTTCGCCCAGGATAAACGAAAAGTCAAAAAGCATCATTTCGTACGAGATGCTTCCGCTGTGCTTTTCCTCCAGCGCCAAAAGCTCGCTGTTTTTGAAGGCCATGCACCTTTTGCACGCGCACTTCGCCTTGTACGTGTCCTCTGAGATCCCCGATATCTCCGTAAGGTAGTCCACCACGGCGCCCACGGGCTCCACTGTTTGGTCGTAAACTACGTCTTTTTTTTCGCTCACAAAGCTTACTCGCGCGACTTCAGTGCCCAAATCCGTGGAAACCATTTCGCAGTCAACGGACAAAATGCTGTGCGGGGACGTTGCTTTATACGTGACCATTTCCCGCTCGTTCACGCGCACCACGTCGTAGTATACATGCTCTTCAGCCTCTTTTTTCCAGGGAATTTCCGTTATTGTCAGAGGTTTTAAGCTTGAAACTTGCGAAAGAGTCCCCTCCGAGCTGTGCCGGGAGTAGAAGGCCGCCCTCTCCTCCGAAGGAATCGTGTATATTCTGTGGTCTATGCCGTCCGTGTACACTGTGCTTAGGTCTTTCACTAGGTACTTTGACACGGTTTCAGCCGTTATTTTTTTGCTGAGCGCGCTTTCGAGGGGAAGAGAAAGCTCCTCTGTTTTGCTGCGGGTGGAGTGCAGGAAAACAGGAAAATCTTCTGGAAGGGGGCTCTCTCTCAGGACAGCCACATACTCGCCCCCTGCCTTCTGGGGCTCCGGAAGCACTGCCGCTTCAGACGAAATTACAACGAGAATCCTGCACACGGTGGAAGCACAGAACTTCTCAGCCAAGGAAGACGTGTTTTTCCTCGTGCGGCACGCAGATACAAACTTCTGCAGCTTCTCCAGCGAGATTTGGGCGTGCTTTTCGGGCAGGTCTTGAAAAGGCTCGTTTTTTCCCATGCCGAGCGAAAACAATAAAGCATTTAATAAAATTTCGGCGTGTTTTCGCATGAAACCGCGTCCAGAGAAAACGCCCCAAACCCCCAGGGAGTCCCGGCGCTCGCGTATAGCGCCCGAAAAATGTGGGTCCTTCCCTGGAAAAATCCCAGCCCTGGAAACCCCATACTTCGCTGCGTATTTAGTGCAAAAATGCGTTTATTAGGAAAAAGGGCAAAAGCCCGCACAAAAGACAAAAAGCCCTAAGGGAGCGCTCCCTTTCGGTGCACTGCATTCTCCCTTTGGTTGTACGAGTATCCGCCCGGGGGCAAAACGACGGGCTTTCCCTCGTCTTCGATGTGCAGGCTGTCTTCTATTCTCAGAATTTTGCACGGCCTTTTTTCAAACATAACGTAGCTGTACGGGAAGAACTTTTCCCAGGAGTACCCAGAATTTCCCGCAGAGTCAGCGGATAGCTCGCGCTCTATTTCCTGCAGAAGGCAGCTGAACAGCTCCTCCTTGTTTACGGCAATTCCCGAAAGCTCCTCCACGCTTTTATACGGCATGCTTTGGCCCTGGCTTTTCAGCACGTTGAGGCCAACTCCAATCACGCAAATCGACTTAGCAATGCCCTCAGCGGATAGAACATCCTCTACGACATTAACAACAACTCCGCCTACTTTGTATTCCGTGTTCTGCGCTTTCATGCATATGTCGTTTGGCCATTTCACGCACAGGCCGGTTATTCCGTGCTTTTCCAGGGCCTTTCGGACGATGTTTGACGTGGCAAGTGCCGTGTTGGCTCTTCCCTTCTCCTGGAGAATGAGAACTGAGAAGGTGAGAGAGCCCTCCGAAGAGATCCAGTTTGTTCCGCAGCGGCCTTTTCCGTTTGTCTGCCGCTCTACCAAAAGAGCCGACGGAATTTGCATGTTCTTGTAGTTCTGTATGCAGTATTCCTGCGAGGAGCTGAGCTCTTTTTTTCGCTCTATATGCATAAAAAGAAGAAACTGCCCGAATAAAAAGACAGAAAAGCAGCGGCAAAGTCTGGGGTTGGAAAAGTGCGCGCCCAAACAGGGCAGAGGCCTCGCCTAAACCCTGCGCCTTCATCTATCTCGTTTCCAGCCTAATGCACGCACTTTTTCGCACATTCCCGCTTGAAAGGGTTTAGTTTTATGTTTCGCTGGCCCGTGGGAGCTCGAATTTGCCTTGAATTCCAGCGAGAAGTTCCCCACAGGCGCAGAAGACCGTCTGGAAGGGCGCAAAAAGGTGCATTCACACGCCCTGCAGCAATTCCTGGGCCCATGCAAAACATCTTTTGATGGATAAAAAGCGCCAATCCCTGAAATTTCAAAATTTCACCCTTGTACTCTCTATATGCATTAAATGAAATCATTTCGAAAAATCAAATGATACTTCAGCAGAAGAAACAAAATGATAATTTGAAAAAACATAAATACGAAGAAAAAATAAAAAAAAATGGATAGACTTAAATCTGTTCTTATAGAAGGCGAAAAGTATTATATATACATAGATCAGACAAGTGTGTATGCAAGAAAGGAAATGGTAGAGAATACTATAAAAGAAGACGATCCTGCTGCCCACATATACTCAGCCACTGTTTTGTTTAACGGGAGCGTGGTTTTGGACAAGATAATACCACATAAAGGCATCTCTGGCAGTGAGGCTGTGGACTTAGTAGAACAATTTGCCCAGAATATGGCGCTAAATGTAGCGTACAGGGAGAAGGCTGTTGTTTCTTGCATATTGAAGTCTTCTATTTTGAAGAGCTGTCTCTCCACGTACGAGCTTTTTTCGACTTCAGAGTTGGACAAGCGGCATTCGCAGGATCTTGACGCGATAAAACTGCAACCTGCGGGGAATGCCCCGTTGGGAGAGGATTCTGTTTCCGAAAATTCCGGCTTGAAGGAGGAAAATTCTAAAGAAAAAAACTCTGAGGAGAAGGAAAACAACTCGGATTCGGGGGATTTGGACCCATTGCTTTTAAATCCCTCCTGTATCGACGATGATGTGATAGTTGAAACCAACAACGCTCTGCGGGAAGGGCTTGAAACGATAGGCAAGGCCGTGGAAGCCGTAAAAAGCACACACAGAGAACGCCAGATGATGTGCACGAACTATTCCTATGCGCTGAATTCGATATATTCTCACATCCAGGAGGTCAATTTCTACCTGTTTTTCTCCGATGACATTGCTTTTGAGAATGTCATTCTGAAAGAAATGCAGGAAATTGAGAAATTGTGCAAAAAGTTGACGGGTGTAGATGTTTTCAGCGGTGAAGTCAGCAAAAACTCTGCGTTTTCTGTGGATGACCTGGAAACCCTGTACAAGTCCTCAGTGGATGGGCCTTGTAGAATAGTGGCCTATAGGAATGATATGAATAAGTTCTGTTTCAACCCGGAATTCATAGGCAGGGTGAGAGCCCTTTCTCGCAGGCTGCAGGATCATGATAAGCAGGGAAAGTTGTTCTCTATTGGCCAGCTTCTTGACGAAATTAAGTCACTTGTAGGCTTTGAGCAAATGCGGGTAGTTAGAACCCTGATTGAGCACCGCGAAGCGATCCTCCGAGAAAAAAGAGCGTATTTTTCAATTCTGGACATATACGCGGGATGCAAGCGAGCCGAAGAAGGGGCTGAAATGGACTCTGCGCAGTGGTTCGACATGTACTTCCTAAGCGCCATAACCAACGAGAATGCTGCGATCAGGAATGTTGAGTCGGAAATGGCCCGTTTGGCCGACATGGAGCTGCTCGTTCACGAGAATGCAAGCGAGATCACAGAGGAAATAGACATGCTTATTTCCCAATTCCTGCGCATTAGGGGGCTTTTTATATCCAAAGAGGCTTTCTCCAGGATAGAGAATGCGAATAGCTACATTTCAGCGTACAAAATTATAGCGGAGTGCTGCAAAGAGAGCGAGACCGAAGACGCCAAAACCATACGGGACTGCCTGGGCGCGCGGATAGAGAAAATGAACAATTCTCTGAAGCTCCAGGATGCCATGAAAAAGCGGGCTGAAGACATGCGCAAAATCAAAGGCGTTTTTATGGACATGAAGGAAATGTCAAAAGAGCAGGTGGAGTTTCTGCTCAATTCCCTGATTCCGTACGCGTTAGACCCGAAAATTAGCGGTTGCATACAGGAGAAGCTGTTAATGGTTAAAACGCCGGGTTTAGTCGGCCGCTCAGACGGGTTATTTGTCCCAAAGGACTTCACAGGCTTGCTCATGGAGAAATTCCGCGAGGCTGTCGAGGCAAGAAGCTGCATAATTTCTATTGTGCAGAACATGAGCAAAAGCTCGCGCTTTTTCGGGGTTATATCAGACTGCATGACGTGGGTTGAAGAGGCAGCAGTCTCTGATACGTTGCAAGCGATGATTTTGCCTGTGGGTGTTGCGGGCACATTCTTGGCGCTGGGCATTTTTTTCGCAAAATCGTATAGCAGTATTCCGCAGGATGTTTAGGCGAGAAAAACAGTTATTTTTGCAATTTTTCTTTTCTCTAAAAGACCTCTAATTTCAGTGTCTGGGTGTGGCTTAAACGCGGGGTTTTGGCACGGCAGCTTCCTTTGAGTTTAAGGCGACCTTCTACGAGGCAAGGCGCGCTGTTGTCTTGCCATGTGCCCGTGCGGATGGGCCCAACCGCGAAATTTATGTGTTATTTCGAGACATTAATAAAATGATAAAAGTATAAAAGCAAAATAATTTGAGTATTTTTATGCCAGAGAAGGCCGGTAAAACGATTATTGAGCACAGCTACATAAAAATTAAGCTGGACATAGATGCACTGCTGGAGGAGCACCAGAAATTTGTGCAGAACAAAATGGCTTTCCCTATGTCGATTCCGAAAAACGGGGAGTACAGCATACTCTACCAAATGCTGAATCAGTCTGTGAAAATTGGAGTTGACATTGGGTCTGCTGAATGGGAGAAAAAAATAGACGTCGCTGTGCACCTTGTAAAAATGCGCCTTATGCACATAATACAGTTCTCTGCGAACAAGAACATTGTGGATTTCAGAGGGGCCATTTTCAACCGCTTTGGAGGAGAAAACCCCGGAAAATCAGAAGATAGCGCAAAACGAGCTCTTGCTAAGCAGGGGAAAGCCATCCGGGAAAACCTCCTGATGCAGACAGTAAACGGCAAAGCAACGCTGAGGAACGTAGTAAGCGAAGACATTCAGAGACTTGTCCAAACCCTGAAAAATCTCGACTCTATAGACGAGGAGAGCAGAGAAAGCTTTCTAGATGTAATGGAAAAACATGCAAGAAACAGCAGGAGCTACATGACGTTGAGTGACAACTATCTGCTAAAGTGCGCCCTGCGGGACGCGTGCATAGCGTATGAAGCCCAGCACAACGTCTCTGAAGACAAGGATATATACTCTTTGGACGAGCTGTACTCGTTGCAAACAGAGGATGGAAACCTCGTGGAGGACGGGCTTCTTCTTATAAAGAGCCGAAAAGAGGTTTTTCTAACGGAAAGCCCGGAAAGCATCTTTAACTACCTCTCAAAGGAGGGTGTTAAGCTTCTAAGAAGCATAAACTACCACTTGAGCGGCATATCCATGGAGAGAGAGCTGTACTTTGAGCTGCTGCGAATGCACAAGGGAGATGTCAAGCCAGTCCAATGCAAAGCTCACAGTTTACGGTGGATCAACGAAAAAAGGTCAAACTCTGTTGGGCTGAAAACATTCTGTAATGCAGTGGACTCGGACTTGATGTGTGCTCTTTTTGAAGAGCCGGATCTTCCTGATGCAACGGCTGTTTCCACGAGAAGCCCGGAACTAGAAGTTTTTCTCTCTCCGGAGACGCAGAGAAAGCTGGAGATGTACCGAATGTTGAGTTCCACGCAGAGAAAGCACGTTCTTGAAGCAGTTCGGCGGTACGCAAGAATTTTGCACGTTAAGATAGAAAATTCGGATTCCAGAATCAGCGAAACATTTAAGGACTTTATGCTTTGGCTTGCAGTTTGTATCTTGGGCATGGCCACAGTCGGGTTTGTATCCACGTCCGGGGCGCTGTTTTTTGCCAAGTATTAAACACAGATCTTTTGCACAGAATAAATAATCCAAATTTACCCCTTTATTCGCTACTGCTGAGACGCCCCGAAATGCGCGGGTTTTGCGGGCCGCCCGCTACATCTTTAATTGGCCAGTAGGCCCCCTTCCTTCTCCAGAGGCTAGCTCTTGCATGGCTTTTGTGTGCTATCTCTGCGCCAGCTCGCAGAAACATGATGTTTTTAATCTCTAAAAGCCGGGATTTTTGCAGATGCGCCGATCTGAACCGAAGAACCCCTGCGCGGTTATCGCTGCAGTAGAGGTGCCCTTGTCGTATTTCCCCGGTTTTATTCAAATTTCTGTTAATCAAGAAAAATTATACAAAACTTTTATGGAAACAGAACAGAAAATAACGATTGATCTAAAAGAAGTAAGAGTGGTGATTTCAGTCGAAGATCTTTTGGAGGCTCTCGAGGAGCGCCAAAAATACCTTGCGAATGAAGGCCAAAAAAGCATAGGCGACAATGAGTATTCGTATTTTCGGTGGGTTCTTAACAAATGCGTGTCTCTAGAGGGCGTAAACGGCGAATTTACGAGACAGGACCAAGCATTGATAGAGGATGCTTTAAACACCCATCTGGGGCGTATTCTAAAGCTCTACGACAATCCGAACATAGTCGGTTTCAGAAAAGCCATACTCTGCGCCCTAGACAGTAGCGAGCCAGCAAGCACTGAAAAATCTCTGCATGAAGAATGCATTCGGGTTATCCGGGAAAATCTGCAAAAAGACAGCATCAATCAAAGAACTACTTTCATAAAAGAAGTGAAAGCCGGAGCTTCTCAAATCGTCTTGGAAATGCGCAAGATAAAAGGCAAGACTGGTATTAACCAGAATGAGTACAATCTCTTCATGGAAAGGCACATGCGCATGTACAACAGCTACTTAGAGCTAAAAGACTTTGATGCCCTAAAAGCGTGCATATGCGACATGACTGTTAAGTACGTCGAAAAAACAAATTCGGCTCCAAACGCAATCGCATACAGCATAGAAAAGCTGCTCACTCGAATGTTTGGCCAAGCTTCCTTCCTGGAGATTGGAATGTTTCTGCTTATGGGAAAACGCGGGTTCTACAGCAAGCCAAACAGACTTGAGAAACTGAAAACTGGCCTACAAAACCATGAAGAACATCTAATTGTAAGCATTGCATACCATCTAGACAGGATCTCTAGATGGTATCATGTATACTATAATGTGATTCTTGTGCATGATGTGGGCAGCATCCTTACAAAACGCATCATTCCAGACCACCTAGTCGTTCGAGAAGACTCCAATCCCACGGGAGCCAGAATATTCTGCGACAGAATAGACACAGATCTGCTCTATTTGCTCTTCAACACCCTGAGCTACGACGAGCTTTACGACTGCGGAATAGAATATGAGGGAGAAACTCCGAAAAAAATGGCATCGGGGGATTACAATAGAAATTTTGTTCTAAAAAGGATCGAGGACAGAATGAAGGGGGATCCAAACAAAAAAATGATCTTAAACGAGTTGATGCAAATGTCTAGTTTCGAGAAAAAGTGCATTTTATCGGACGTGCAAGAATATGCCAACATCCTGGGCGTTAAGCTGGCACTTTTCGAGAAAAAACCGCATAAGCCCTACAATCTAAAGAAAAAGCTTTCAATGATAGCCACAGTTATACTGTGCCTGGTTCTTGGGCATATTATATCGCGCATTCTTGGGTATGCTATTGAAAAAGCAGAAATTATCTATAACTATTTTGGCTAGCAAATATTTATACATGGATTCTGCGCGCAAGAGAATAAAAGCAACATCTTAACAGCTTAGCCTATGTGCATGTGCAGCCCCTTCACGGGAGGGCATTTTATCAGGCATTCACAGCCTCATGTTTTCGCACATTTTTGCATAAAACTTATTTGGCAAACGCATAAAATATCTGATCAGAGGCACCGCCAGCAAATGATGATCGCTGAAAACATAGAAAAATAAGACTAACGCAGCGGAAATAGAGATAGACGTGTCCCTGCTTTTGCACCCCCGAACAAGTTTTTCACCCGGCCCTCCAAACTGCCCAATTACAGAGGAAAACACGGGAGGAAACGACATAAACATCAGCATTTCGAGCGAACTTTCTGAAATTCTGGAAAACGAGGAAAAACTGCCGAGATTTAGCCAGTTCTGCGCGATTTTATGGGTCTTTCGCTTCTTCAGAGAAAATATGTGCTTTTAAAACTGAAATGGTGCGCGGACCTTCTTGAAGTGCCTATAGATGGAACTGATGCCTTTATACAGATACGCTCCCGTGAAAACTCCGGTGCTTTTTTCCATTTTGTTTCTCATTCTGTAGTTTTTCGCTTTTCTTGTCATAGCTTCTCCTTTTCTGTAGAGTTTTTAAAAATCCTGGAGGGTATAAATCGGCTTGTTTAAGGGCGCAAAAAGGCACAAAGCATCCGAAAATCGGGGTTTAAGATGGGGCTTGCATGTACTGGGCGGGCACCTTGGGCCATGTATAGGAGCAAAATAGAGTGAGCCTGCGCTGTGCTTTCGGTATATATTTTCCAAAAATCTTCTTTTCAAAAGCACAGAAAAATATATCTGCAAGTGTTTTCCTGATCTTATGTTTGACAGGTGGCTGAAAAAGCCTGCTATGTATCGGAAGGCACAAACTGAGGGCGGGGTGTTTGGAGGCGGAAGAGTTGTTGCAGCCCAAAGCCCAGCGGAGGCTCGTTCTGCGCTAAGATACGGCGCTGTACAGAAGCCCGATTTCTGAGGAATTTCGAGAAAGCGCAAAAATGCGTTTCCGAACGCGCGCTTTGCAGGCGCAGGTAAAAGCAGGCGAGAACCCTGCCCTTTGGGCAGCATATGGAGCGCAGCGCCTGCCCAGGGGAGGCTTTTGTTTGTTGTGGCACCAAGCCGAGGGCTTTTGTTTTATTTGCAGGCTTTCTATATATTCTCAACTGTTTATTTGTTTCGCATGAAGATAGTGGGAATAACAGGAGGAGTCTGCACAGGCACGAGCACAGTGATAGACTACATAGAAAAGAAGGGCTTTGCTGTGATAAAGGCACCCGAAATATACGCGTACCTGGAGGGAATAGACGCTCTCTCCAAATACAACCTGAGAATGCACCTTACAAACAAAGAAAATGCGATAAAGACCCTTGCCAGAACATACTTTCTAAAGTACCTCAAGAACCGAGAGGTGTTCTTCCGCCTCATGTGCAAAGCGGTTGTCTTTGTGGAAGTGCCCTTCCTGTTTGAGTGCGGGCTTTCCGGATACTTCTCGCAAATAGCCGTTATAACGTGCGGGCCAAAAACGCAAAAAGAGCGGCTAACCCTGAAGTATTCGATGGATCGCAGCGAAAAGAAGAATGCAAGCAAGTTTTCGCTCTCCGAAAAGGACGCCCTGGAAGTTGCTGAGCACCAGGCGCAAATGTTGGAAAAAAGGGCGCACTGCGACACGGTTATAGACAACAACAAGGGAATAGACCACACGTTCCTGCAAGTAGATGCTTTTCTGAACACGCACAGCAAGCTATCCGTCTTCTACCTTGTCATCGTGACAGTTGCAGTCGCCTCAATATTTCTGCCAATACTTGCCAGGTACAAGGAGGAAGCAAGCCGCGCTGCAAAGAAAGCGAAGTCCGCAATAGACGCAATAAGAAAGAACATCAAGAACCACCGATATGGCTGATTTCTCGCGAAACTCCGGCACAAAATCCTGAAATTCAAAATCTGAAATCATATCTGCACGCAAAAGAACATTTTTCAGGTTTAATCCGGCGAAAAATGAATAAATTCGCATTTTGCCCGAAAGCACGCGCCCTGCACCCGCCAACCCCATAACTAGAACGCATATTTATTCTTTGAATACTATTTCTTCGGCCTCTGACTCTACTTCCTTGGCTGCGGCAAGTGGGTTTGACTCGTACAGTGCAGGATAGTCATTTTCTGTCAAATAGTGCTTTCTTCGGATGTACTCTATTCCCTTGTTTGTAAGTGTGTAATAACCGTGCTTCCACGCGAATGATTTTTCTACACATCTCCTGGAGAATAAACTCTTAACGATCTTCATAACCTTGAAGTTGGAAACGTTGATCATGGGATGTGGCTTGAGAGTTCTGTTGTGCTCGACTACAATACATCCGTGGTCGAATATGAATCTCTGAACTTCTTTTATTTCATGAGTTGGAATGTGCATTTTCTGCAAGGATGTAAAAAAAAAATATAAAGTAGTTTCACAGGGAGTTTGAGGGCGTGGAGCAGGCCCGAAAACGGGCTTTCTACAGGCACCCAAAGAAGCGCTCTATCTTCCTGCGCATCTTCATAGCCGCGAAGCAAACTGCGAAAACCGCAACCAAAATAAAGAGCAGTGCGACCTCAAACATTGAAGAAATAAATGCGGGTAAAAATAAAAACAGAGTGAAAATTCTCGGCCTTCCACAGAGCTTCCAGGCCGGTGCTTCTGCGGGCAGACCCGTCCGCCCTTCTCCCAGAACATTCTCTTTTTGCACGGGCTCCTGCCGTGTTTTGGGGTGTTTTGGGCTTTTCCTGGGGAGAAGACGTGCTCAACCCCAAATGCCCCGGCAAGCGAAAAAGAAAGTGCGCGCGCACCCATTAGATCACTCTGCAGCTCCCTCCGCGCGGCATTAGACCCATTTTTGCGCGGTCTTGCGAGAATGTGCACGAAATCGGCTCAAACCCCGTGAAAACCAGCAAAAATCACGCGCCAGCGCGCAGAAAAAAGCCAAAATGCCTCCCACAGCACCCGCCCAAGCTCTGCATCTTTTCCCAACGAAGCGCCCTCTCCCAGCATCGGATTTCCTGCAGTCCGCCACCTGTGAATAAATTCTTGCGATCGTAAAATATTTTATTGCATGTGCGACCAGGAAGAAATACGAAAACTGTGGCTTTGCCAGAAAACAGTCTACCAAATGATGAAAGATCGAGGATATACAGTCCTGGATAGCGACCTGGAAATGGACCTAGAGGGGTTTAAAAGTGCCCACCCCACGCTCGTTACAACGGGAAGCAAGCACGCGCTTTCCATGCTCTTTCAGCACAGCACAGCGCCAGAGAAGCAGCTGTTTGTCTTCTTCCCAGACAATGCATACTTCAAGGCGAAAGACATAAAGCTCTACACCTCTACTCTGGGAAAGCAAAACATTCACAACGGAATAATTGTGTGCAAAGAAACCCTGAAAGTGCACAGTATTAAGGCTCTAGACGAGTCCAGGAAGGAGTACGAGCTCGAACTCTTTTATATTCGGGAGCTGCTCTTCAATATCACGCGGCACAAAGACGTACCGAACCACATTCTCCTGAGCGAGGACGAGAAACAGCGCGTTTTGCGGGAGAGAAAGGTCGGGGAGTCGCAGCTGAAGAAGATCCTGGTAGACGACCCTGTTAACAGATACTACGCAGGAAAGCGGGGGCAGCTGTACAGAATAGTGCGAAACTCAGAAACTGCCGGTATTTCCATAGAGTACAGGATCGTAGAGTGAGTTTCCGGGAAAATGGCTCGAGCAGGAAGCCCGGAAAGTCCAGAGAAGCGCCCTGCGCATTTTCCAGGCCTCCCTGCGGTGCTTTTGGCAGTAAATGGGATCTTGTTTCTTTGTTTTGGATATTTTCGGGTATTTATGCGCGTTTTTCTTTTTCTTTTCTATGGGACTAGTGCAGTTGCTGTTTAAGTTTAAAGACTCGCTCTTTCCCTTAACCGTCTCGGAGGGAGTGACTTTGCTCGAAGCAGCAGCATCAAGTGATAGCGTTCCTCTGCGGGGCGCCTGCGAGGGCTCGCTTGCGTGTACAACGTGCCACGTCATCCTGGAAAAAGGCGTTTACGATAAGTGCAAGGAGATGTCCGAGCGAGAAGAAGACCTTCTAGACAGCACGAAGCTGCTCACAGCCACTTCCAGGCTCGGCTGCCAGGTAAAAGTCACAAAAGACATGGACAATCGAACGATAAAGATCCCAGCAATCAACAGAAACATAGAAGTACCGCGCCCCCAGGCCAGCCCGCATAACCTCGAGTAGAATGCAGAACGGGCATGCATAAACACGTGTAAATTCATCGAACAAGGACCTTCCTAGACCTTCCCAGAACTGTCCAGAACTTTTGCCTTTTCCCCTCGGGAAAGAATGCGTATTTTCGGCTGGAAAGTGCGGGGTTTTTTTGTAGCGGCAGGCCCTTTCCCGGGGCGCAAATACCCCAACTCCCGCTCAAAGAGGCCACTCCCCGCGCGCTTTCATCGGGGCTTTCCCACTAAAAGTCAGAGAATGTTTCGCAAAAAAACAGAATGAGCGAAAGAAAGAGCAAAACTCTGAAGCAGCTGCAGGCAAGAATAGCTGCAGAGTCCCCCCTCTACACGGCCCTGTTCAACAAAGTCTCGATCCAGCCGCAGCTGCAGCTGTGCGACATAACCGGCCTCCCTGCAAAGTACGTTTGTCCGCGAACAGGCCTCCGATACAGCTCCTGCAAAGTCTATGCCCGCCTCCGAGAAGTCACAACAGAAGTCGCACAGTCCATGGGCAGTCTCCGGCAAGTGGGAAAAGAGCTAAGCATGCTCACAAAGAAGTAAGCAATAAATCAGTTGAAGATTAATTTATTCGATCTTGGCAATCAGAGAAGCAAGCTCCTTCTGGAAGGCTGAGCTTTCCAAAAGCGCGTTTTTCTTCTGCTCTTTCTCGTCCCTCTCCCTCTGGGCAACGTCTGCCCTCTTCATTCGCTCGTCCTCGAACTTCTGCAGGATTCCTGCGCTAGTCCATCCCATGCTCACGCAGATTTGTCCAAGCGTGGTTGTCTTCGTCACAGGGCTCAGCTTTGTCTCAGCAAGCGCGTGCGTTACAACGACTTTCTCTGTCATTTCGTACTCCAACGGAATTCCGTCGTAAACCTTCAGCCGTGCAAAATCAGCTGCTCCCTGGGCTCCCTTGTAGTTGAGCATTCCCCGCACGATTCTCTTGAAGCACTTAGACGGCTCTTTGTAGTGGAAAGGCCCTTTCTTTGGGTTTACCAGACATCTCTTTCTCTTTTTGTCTTTATATATACTGACCATTCTCTCTATAGGTGAGGAAAACACAGTTCCTTCCGCTCTCAGCACCACTACGCTGTACCCCTCGCGCAAAGACTTTGCTACGTACGCAGCCAATCTTCCAGTAACATGGCCCTTTCCATCAACAACCAGCTTTCTTCCGTGTGTCATTTACTTGGGCTAAAAATTAAAAAAATATTTCTACTCGCAGCCCGAACAAAAACCGCAAATTGCGAATTTCCTGCAGGAAAGCGGCGTTTTCGCGTGGAAAATACGGGGTGGAGGCAGCAAAGTCTTTTTCCGCATAAAATTTGGCCGCTATACGTGCCTTCTGCTCCCTCTCAGGGCCTTTCCCTTGCTGAGCTGCACCTCCCGCAGATCCTGTTTTTCAATGTGGAGCACCCCAAGAGTGTTGTTTAAAAAGCCTTTCTCGACATTTTTCACCTTCTTCTCCGTCTGCCTGATCTGTTTGCTCGCTTCCTTCTGCTGCTTCCAGCCCATTCGGTGCTCTTCCATCAGCTCGAAGTGCACGGGACCAGCAACGGGCACAACCCGAAACGGGGAAGCCTCCACTTCCACGACGTCTAGCGTTATCCGGTCTTTTGTAACGTCCAGGCCAACTCCGTACTTTACAACGCCCAATCCCACAGCCCCGGGAATGGAGTCTCTCAGCAAATCCATCACCAAATTCAGGGAAGTTGATTCAACGGAGAGCGGGTCTCTGTGAACCATTAGAACATGAAGGGTGTTTCTGAGAATGTCTACGCTTTGCATCTCGTGGGAGACTTTGTACTGCGCCAAATCTACTATTTGGAACTCGTATGTGCGCCCTATTATGACTCTGGACTCGCCTTTTTTGTTGGAGTATATGTATGCAAAGAGCGAACAGTCGAGCTTTTTCATCAAAGCCTCCAGCTTCCCGTTGGAAACAGACGCATTGGACGTTGTTGGCTGGTATATTCCGTCTTTATCAACGTACTTAACTGCGTCTTTCTTGATGCCCAGGAAGAGGGCAATAAGTGGCTGTGTCACGGGACTGCCCATGCTCGGGGAAATGACCAGGAGCTTTTTGCTGGGCTCAATCACCGCTGGCTTCTTCTCTTTTTTCATGGTGCAAAAATATTTCGCATATTTAGCATCGGCAAGTCGTTCCGTATTTGGCATGCCTAGAGAGCACTTGACTTTTCAGCATTCAGAATGGACAAGTTATTTGGGCATTAAAGGTGCTTTTCATCTCAGTATCAAGTACTTTGGATCCTAACGGTATTTGCACATTTCCAGACTTAGAAAGTGTTTGGTACAGGAGAATGTTCGGTATATGTAAAAATGTTCAAATTTTCGCAGATTTCGATGCTTGGACATTGGAGAATTTAAAATGTATTCAGAATATTTTGCATGGTTTTTTATTTGGCATGCGTATAAACATTGCAGAATATAGTATTTAGCATATTTATAGAGTGTTTATAGCATAGAAATCAGCACTTAGAGATTATTTGAGTATTAAAGACCTTGGGATATTTAGTATATTCAGACTGTTTATAGGATGTTTATAGAGTGTTTATAGCATAGAGAATAATCAGCAGTTGTAAATTCCTGCCATTCATTTGCTGGGCTTAGCCTGCTTAAGCCTGTGCACTATCCAATCTGTTCTTGCACCGTCTGAATTATAGGCCTCTTCATTAGATCTCTTAACCACATCCAACGCATGAGCAACTGTGCTTTCAGAATACAGCACATACCCCGAGAACATCCGGTACTTGGTAATTTTCTGGTTTATATATATTTATTGTACTTTACAGGCTATACTGCGCAAACGGCAATAGCCCCGTATGCGGACTCCTGCGAGGCTGATGCTGTTCCGTCGGAAACCCTCCGAAGAAGCCGGACAAAAGCCTCGGCCTTTTTCCTCGCGCTTTCTGAGAGCATATCCCCCGCAATACTCTCGAGGGAGGGCAAATCCTCGGAAAGTGCCTCGAAAGAGGCTCCTGCCGGGTCCTGGAGGAAGGAAATTTCCTCCCCCACGGGGGCAAGGGCGCAGACTCCTCTCGGGGCTTCAACGGACAAATCTGCAAGTTCCTGCGAGGGTACTTCCAGCGTGCTTCCAAAAAGTATCTGGCTCATCTCGTGAAAACTGTTTGAGGCGGTGCTTTGTGCAGCTTTATCCCCCGAAAACGTATTTTCATCTGCTCCCTGTGCGGGCAAAGGCATTTCCTGGAGCATTTTGTAAATCCCCTTCAAAGCTGCAGGAATCACCATTTTCCGGTGCTCCTCCCGTGCGAGGAGCTTTCTCGGGGCCTTCAGGTGCTTCTCTTCTATTTCCGTTTTCTCCTCCAGGCGGGGCTTTTTCGCAGGCTTTCCCTCCTCTGGGCTCGCTCTTTTCTGGGGTTTTACGGGGCTTTGGAGCAGGGTATCCGCAATTTCCGAGGCCTCGCAAAGCGTGATCGCAGAAAGCGCCGAGAAATCCCCGTCCTCCCCGCTTGCAGCTTCTTCCTGCGCGATTTCTCTGCCCAAAATGAGCGAATTTTGGCTGTTTTCAGTGCTTTCTGCCTCTTCAAGGGTTCTCGCAAGAGAGAGAGAAATGTCGTTAAGACTCATCGAGTACTCCAAGTTGCTGAGCATTCCCTCCGATACTCCTCGGCCCACTTCTATGTCGGCCTCCCCCAAATCCGCATCTTCCTGCTCTGCGGGCAACTTCATGTGCTTGAAAAGGTCGATGGGGAAAGTTATTTGGGCTCTGCTGACTTTTTGGGAGACTGCACCTTCTGGGGAGGGCTTTCTCTTGACGCTTATGAAGAGCTCTTTGCACTCGTCGTAAAGCAGCTTCGTCTTTCTGAAGAGGATTTTGGAGAGTCCGAGCAAAATGTGGCTCGAAGTTCTCAGTGCTAATTCGGGAATTTCCCCCGTTTCTATGGACTTCACAGTCTCCTCTATATTGACCTGCTGGATGTCGGACTTTGTTAGGCGCCTGTCAAAGTACGCTGCTACCCAGGCAGCTGACAGTTTTCCCTTGCTTGCTAGAATGTTCACGGCGTAAAACATGCACTTTCTTCCTCCACTTTGTATTTATGTTTTTTGTACCGGGAACTTTCCCGCCATTGAAAGGAAATTTCACGGAAAGAGGCAGTATTAAGAGGGGATATACTTAACGGGAAGGAGCAGGGCCTACAGGAGGAGTCGGTGAAATATTTAGGGATGCATTTAGGGATATTTCGGCTCTTTTCAGGCTGTTTTTCGGCATAAACTGAAAGTGCAGCCTGGAGTTTCTGGTTATTCGAGGGGTTATCCTGGGATATCCCCGCAGTGCGTGCATAGTGCACGTTAGAGGAAGCATGCAGAAGGAGCAAGTTCTGCATTTTGGCACTTTTAGGTCTCATGCGATCTCATTTCGCGGCTTCTCCTGCGAGCGTGGGATGCAGTCCCTCCAGTTCTGCATACATGCAAAAGCACAGACTCTGTCTTCCCCTGCAGAGGGTCTCCTGCTGCTTCTTAACAGAGTTTTCCCTGCGAGAATTTTTCGGAGAGAAAAGAGTTCTCCTGTTGCTGGGAAAATGTCCTATTCTGCGAGAATTTTCCACTGCAGCCAATTGTGCTCGATCGAATTAAGTGTGATGTGGATTGGCTGGCTTTTTAATCACCACGCATTAATTATTGGTTGTTTGTTTGGCGTGTGTTTCATTCTGTTTATAAATGCAAAACATTGAAGTCCTCTATAAAATGGAAGGGAAAGAGAAAAAGCTGTTCAAGAATCCATCAGCGGAGTCTTTGGAGATCGGCCAGGAAAAGATCACCAACACCTCAACGATCGATTGCACCATAAAAGAGAAAGAGACACCCAAAAAATACGTGAAATACAGCCTAAGTGAGAGCATTTTATTCAACAGTAAATAGCCAGGATACGTAAGATCTGTCTTCTACATTAGACTTCCTGTTATGTTCATCTTCTCTATCATCTGTTTTACATCTTGCTCCTGTATGCTTATAATGCAGTGAGACTCTGGGGCGGCGTCAGGCTTCTCGGAGGACGCGTACAAAGTGCCGTTTCTCTCCCGTATGAAGGCCCTTCCCACCTTCACCGCGAAGGAAAGCGTGAAAATGTTTTCCACCGTCTTTCCAAAGGAGTTTGCATCAATTACAAGCCGGAAAACCTCTATCTCCCCCATTTCCTGGAGTATCTCGTACACCCGCTTGATCTCCTTCGGGGCATTTATCTCCTCGGAAGATTCTTTCGCATTTTCAGGCTTCTCCTGCTCCTTCTCGACCTTTGCCTTCTTGGGCTTCCTGGAGACTTTGTTCAGTGTCCCCACAAGAGGCAGATGCGAGGGAATTGCTGCCCCCCGGAAGAAACTGTTCGATATTTTTGCATGTCCCAGCATATTCCCGCTTACCATCTCAATGTATGCGCCCACCGTTATGTTGTTGTTGCACTGAAGGAATATCCGCTTTCCCTCTTCCCCCACGATCTCATTCGCTAAATACGCGTCTAGTCGTAGCTCCCGGGGCGTCTGTATCTCCTTCAAAAGAGTGTTGCTTTTCTGGTATATCGGATAGAGATGCTCGTTCGTCTTTTTCTTCTCCCTTGCCATTTGTATGAGCTTGATGTACTCTTCCGCTAAGTTGTTCTCCATTGCAGCCGCTTGAAAGTCTTTTCCGAGGAGCGAATAAATGCAGAAATGAAATGGAAAAAATTTCAATGCAGTTCATTGCCCTAGTAAGCGGAGGCAAAGACAGTATATACAATATGCAGATGGCGATGCAGGATGGGCACATTCCCGTGTGCCTTCTCAATATGAAAATGCCTGCAGAGAGAGACTCCTTCATGTTCCAGTACGCAGGAAACAACCTTCTCCCGGGGATATCCGAGTGCTTAAATCTGCCGCTGCACCAAAAAGAGACGAGCGGCCTCTCTAAAGAGCGCGGGATAGAGTACAAGGTCACGGAAAACGACGAAATAGAAGACCTTTTCTCGGCAATTCGCTCTCTCCAGGGACTGTATGAGTTTTCTGCAGTTTCTGTTGGGGCTATTTCCTCGGTTTACCAGTACAACAGAGTAAAGAGCGTTTGCGACAGGCTTAACCTGCAGGTTCTCGCATACCTGTGGGGGCAGGACCAAAGAGAGCTTCTCCAGAGAATGTGCAGAGATGGAATATGTGCAATTGTCGTAAAAGGAGGCGGATACGTGGGGGAGCTCTTGGGAGAGACAATTTCCACGGTATACACGAAGTATTCGGGGTATATACAGGGCCAGCTGGAAGAGCACAAAAGCCTAACGGAGAAAGACTTCAATCTGTGCGGAGAGGGGGGCGAGTACGAGACGCTTACGCTCGATGCCCCCATATACGCGAAGAGGATAGAGATAGTTAGAAGCACGGTCGAAGAGGAAGAGTGTGACGTAAAAACTCTGTGCATTTTGGAGTACAAAGTAGTTGATAAAGCCCAGGAAAAGCCTCTCTAGGCGCATACTTTATGCAGTACTCCCAGGGACTGCCGGCAGTATAAGTATTCCCGTAGAAGCACAGAGTAAAGCACACTTTGGCAGTTTCACGGGATAAACTCAGATTGGGGATAGAGATTGAGGTTTTAGATGGGAAAACTAAGATTTGGAGATTAGAAAATGAGATTTGTACTTTCAGATTAGAAAAGTTGAAGATAAGATTAAGATTGAGGCTTGAAATTGATATTGTAATTTCACATTTCAGATTTCACATTTGAAAAGTTAAGATAAGATTGTAATTAGAAAAGTTGAATTTAAATTTGTAATTTCAAATTGTAATTTCACATTTCAAATACAAAATTAAGATTTCAATTATAAAGTTGAAATATTTGAGGATAGAAAAGTTGAGGATTGTAGGCTGGAGAGTTGAAAGACTTAATTGACGATTTGAAAACTTGAAATCCGTGTGGAACTTGTTTCTACGTTATATTTATTCTACTGTGTGGTAATTACATGTGGCACGTGGCCAGGCCTTATTTGTATGGACTATAATACTCCATACCTTTGTATGTTAGGCTCATTATGGTGTCTTTTGTGTAGCCCTGTTTGACCATGCCCTCTATCAAAAGGCCTTCATAGTCGGTGGCATAGCTTGTGTTTTCTCCCAGCTTGTCTGCGTACAGATTCATGGCTCGCTCTATCTTGGCCTCTTTCTCCCTCTCCCGGATCTTCTTTCTCAGCTCGTTTTTCAGCTTCCTCTCCTTCTGCACGTAGAAAGGGTCTTCGTTCTCGGTTTCTTCGTCTTCGGAAACATTCTCGAACTCGTGCTCGCACCCTTCCAGGACCTCGGATATCCTCAGCATTTCCTTGTTTATGCTGTACGTTGTTATTGTGCTGTAGTGCTCTTTCACGATCTTATTCACCTTTTTCTTGTTGTTGTGGAAGCACAGGATAAGGATAGAAGTGAGTGGAGACTTGTTGTGGTAGTAGTTCTGCCCGTAGAGAATCAAAACCTTCTCCCGAATGCCCTCGTAGCTTTGCTTTATCTGGCTCTTGAAGCAGGAGTGCACCCGGTTTAGGACGTTCATCACATAGTCAACAGAAACTGATGAATTGATAACGACTCCCCGATTTTTTGCCAGTAACGAGATAAACCCCATTTTATTACACCCGCAGTACACGAGCACATCTTCTATCAGTATAGGAATGGCTTTGCTGCGCAGGAAAAGAAAGACTGCCATCGCTACTTTTGTTGCATAGTTTACTCGCGTGATAAAAGCAGCCTCATTTAGGAGCCTGGAAATTTCTTCGTGATACGCCATTCCGTTTATGTCGCTGAGAATTGTCCTGAGAATTCCACCCCTTGGATTTCCGCTGTTCAAAAGCCATGCAGGCGTTCCACCGCTCATGAATAAAAATAAAGAAAAAGAATTTATGGATATTAAAAGCCCATGCGTGGAAGAGGCGCTGTAAATTGGTATTTTCCGCAGGATTAGAAATGCCTGCCACCCCTCCATTCTTGCAGGGCATGATCTGTGCAGAGTTTCTGTGCGCGTACTTTTGCGTAAGATGGGCTGTTCGGGGGGTTTCCTGGGAAAAACTGCGGATTTATCGGGCGACCAAGCAAAAGCGCAGCGGAGGAAGATGCAGGCGCTTGTTTTGCGTGTTTATCCCGCGAGAGAGCACGTCCCACGGGGTTTCCAGCAGTGCTTTCCCCCTTCCTGGAAGTTTTGCTAAAACCCCCGCGATAAGGCGTGCCAAGATGTGCAGCCCAACCCCCAGCGCAGCCCTGCATAGAGCTCTTCCTCCCCGTAAAATCCCCGCTTTTTGCCTCTTTCCAGCGCATAAAGTGCATTTTACGGTGGAGTGCAGCCGTCAGAAATGCATTTATAAGCGAGTGTTTGAATATTTTTATTATGATAGTTATTGCTGGCTGCACAGGTGATCTGAGCAAGAAGAAGATATTTCCAGCGATAAACAAAGTCTTTAGGAGAGAGCTGAGCAAATGCATGGGCGGAGAGTATGCTACGACAGAATTGGATCTAACCGAAGGAACTCTCAGCAGCTCCACCTCAGCGCACAATTTGTCCAAGCACAGCCCAATAACTACAGCAAATCCTGCAGATCCCAGGAAAAGAACGAGCTATTTAGAAGCCACGGGAAGCAGAATACTCTACAAGAAAGTCCCGCAAAGTGACGTTCTGAAGAACAACTCTGTAATTGTTCCTCGGATAATAGGGTATGCAAGGACTCCGCTGGATACAGTTCAGTTTATTCAGAGGATAGACCCAAGCATTTCCTACTTGAAGGAAACTGTCGAGAAAATAGAGTATGTCAGCGGAGAGTATGCAGAGATGGTCGACAGAATATGCAGTCTCCCAGGAAGGAAGGAGGAAGGAGATACGCCAGATACGCAGCTGTACTTCTACCTGGCCGTTCCCCCTGAGATATATCCGACCGTTTTAGAGCGAGTTCGAGCACTTTTATCGCAGGAAAAGACGTCTAGCGAGAAACAGATGCCGATAGTACTCCTGGAGAAGCCCATAGGAACGTCTTTGAAGACTTTCCTGGGCCTGAAGGCGTACATGTCAGACCGTCCTCGGAGATTCCTCTGTGTGGATCACTATATGTTCAAGAATGTTTTGGTGCAGTACAAGAAAATATTTCAGGAGACTTTTCTTGGCGAATTCGTGCAGCCTGGATCCGTGCGCGAGGTAAAAGCGTACTTTAACGAAGTAATTGGAGTAGAGGGCCGAGAGAGCTACTACAATACATCGGGGGCATGCCGGGACGTCCTTCAAAACCACCTTCTCCTGGCAGTTGCAACGGTTTTAGGGGAGGGAAAAGAGCGTTTGAGCACGCTCAGGCGGATAGAAAGCCTCTCCGAGGAAAACACGCTCTTTGGAGTGTACAAAGAATATGCGGAAAGAGTAAAGCAAAACCAGGAGTTGCCGCATTCCCTCAGGAGGCAGAACAGCGAGGTCTTTTTCCCGGATTCAGAAGAGAAGCCGAAAACATGCGAAAAAGAAGGCCCGAAAAGTCTCTGTGGCATGGACTTGGGAGGCGTAAAGGAGACGTACATACAGGCAAAAACAAGAATTGGCGCTCCCTGGAATGTCCCGTTAAAATTAACGGCCGGAAAGAAGATGCCGCACCATTTCGTGGCAGTTGTTCTGGTTTTGGAGGAAAGTGCGATCCTGAAGGCCGTACAGGCACGTACAAGCCCAAAGGACTACGAGAACTCGGGCCTCGTGCAGAAAATCATCAAGGCCCTGGGGAAGCCCCCATCCCCGAAGGATCTCAAGCTCTCTTCCGCGGAGATGAGCCTGGAAACGGACGAAAGCCAGGACGAGGATCTAGACAAAAGCCTCGACCTGGAGGAAACCAGCGAGGAAGAGGCGCAAGAAGAGTCCGTGCCCGAGAAAGTGCAGCGTCTTATCACAGGGAAAGTCAAGATAAAAATCACTCCAAAGGAGGCGATATTCATAGAGATAAAGTACAAGGAAAAACTAGCAAAAAAAGTGCATTTAACCATCCCAGGGACTGAGAACAATATTGACGCGTACGAGCACCTTTTCAGCCAGCTCGTCTTTGAAAGAGAAAAAAGCGGATTCTCGCAGCTCCCGGAAATAGAGGAGCAGTGGAGGATAGTGGACCCAATACTCGACAGCCCAAAAGTATCCCGAGTCATATACTAGCAGGAAGTTTACTACTCTCAGAAGGACTCTTTTCACTTAACGTCATGCCATACCCACGCCAAGTGAAGCTGAGGAGATGGTGGGGTGATGACTTAATAGGTTGAAAATAAATAGCTGATGAGTTAAAAGGGTGAAGAGTCAATGAAATGATGAGTTGAAAATAAATAGTCAAGGAGTTTATGAGTTGAAGAAACAAAAAGTTGACAAGTTAAAAGGATGATAAGTTGAATAGTCAACGAGTTAATGAGTTGACAAGTTATGAGTTGAATAGTCAACGAGTTTATGGGTTAAAAGGTTGATGACTTAATGAGTTAAAAGGTTAAAAGGTTGAATAGTCAACGAGTTAAAAGGTTAATGGATTGAATAGCTGATTAGTTAAAAGGTTAAAAGGTTGAATAGTCAACGAGTTAAAAGGTTGAGAAGTTGATGACTTAATGAGTTAAAAGGCTAAAAGGTTGAAGGACTGAAATGAAAGGACAAAAAGTCGAGGATAACCCCGAAATTCCTGGGCAATGCCCCGAATAAATCCTTGAGAAGGCCAGTTTATTTGAGCAGAAGCACTTACGAGATCATTTCTGCATTTTCCCACATGTCATTTGCCCTGTCGGTGTGCGCTTTATCCAGCGCCTTCTCCTGGAAGTTGTCGAAGAACAGAATTCCGCTGCTTTTCGGGTGCAAAGCACAGCTAGCAGCAGCATCCACCCACAGGTCATTGAAGAAATCAGTCGCCACAATTCTAACGTCCAAGTATCCGTATCTGCTCTTTGCCCCAATTCCCAGGAAAAGGTTCAAAAGCTGGCTGTGGCAGTAGGAGAACGTGTAGCTGGGAAGGAGCGTATCGACTCCATTTGCGAGCATAAATATTCTGTGAACGCACACGATAACTACGCCTTCTCCTGCCTTTAGCTTCTCGGAGAGTCCTCGGATCAGCAGAAAGTTGAAAAGGTAGTTTCTCCGGGCATTCATGTCCTTCTCCAGGAGAATCCGGTCCTTCTCCTTGTACAGCTCCTTCTTGCTGATAAAGCCCTTCTTTTTCTTGCACGGGATGATCTGTTTTTCAACGCCTTTAACGGGCTTTACCTTGCTTTTTATCAAGCGGTAGTCGGAAGAGTTCACAAGAAGAAGGTCTACAGCCCCTTGNAAAGCCACCTTCTTCACAAACAAATCGATCGACTCTTCATCCCGTATCCGGACGGGTATGGAAATAGCTTTCTCGTGCGTGGCTTCTTCCTCCGAGGGAAAAACCACGTGATATCCGAGCTCTATCAGTCGGTCCTTCATAAGCCTCCCGTGCGCACTCGTCCCGTCCAAAATAACTGCAATTCTTCTCTCCCCCTCCGGGATCTGCCTCTTTTTAGTGCGTTTTCCCACTTTCTTCCCCCACACTCTCTGCAGGAAGTCAAAAGCGTACTCAATCGCGACAAAAATCAGCACTTTAGCGTCGAAGGGAAGCACAGCAGCGCGCAAACACCATATCATTCCGCAGAAAAGTGCATTTACTCTTTGAAAATCACTCGCCTCTTTCATCTCCTGTAAAACAAACAAACAAGAATAAATTCTCTCTTTCCCCAATCCAAAGCCCAAAAAAGTCCAAAAAAGCCCAAAAAAGTCCGAATTTCCGTGCTAGAACCTGCGGATTCTCCTAGCTGCTATTTATTATTACATATACCTGTCGTATAGAGAGGATATATCCTGGGCATCTACTTTTTGCCATCCATTTTCGTCTATGAAGTAGATGTTTACAGTTCCCCCAGAGTATGCGTCACTGTGTCCTGCGTGGAAAATAGCTCTTCTTGCAAGTTCTATCGCCTCCTCCTTCTCCAGGTCGTATCTGTACCCAGGATTCAAGATACCGTATGCAAAGAGTGAACCTGATCCAACGGAAAATAACTGCCCATTAACACAATTCCCAGAGTCATCAACATAGTATATCGCAGGCCCAGTGGATCCCCACCCGCAAACCATACTCCCCACAGAAAGGCCTTTTCCTTTGTGCTGGTTTAGGGCAGAAGAGAGATACTTAGCTGCTCCTGCAACGGGAATTCTCTCTCCGTATCGGAGCTCGTGCTTCATTGCATAGTTTCCCATGAGCCTTTCCCAGTAGAAGCAGTCAGCAGCTCCGCCTGCCATTGTTCCCAGCAGGTACTTGTTCACCTGTATGACTTTATTCACGGTTTGAGATGCAATGTACGAGCCAGCAGTGGCTCTCGAATCGACAGCAACTACAATTCCGTCTTTCGTAATAAAAGAGGCAGTTGTCGTTCCTTTGTCCAAGGAGAAGAGTCCAGCATTGGCTTTAAACATAAAACAAATAAAAAATATTCCGCATAAAAGGAGAAAACGCGTCCTCTCTGAGTGTCTGTGGAAGTTGCGGAAATTGTCAGTTTCAACCTGGGGATTTGACTGGGTTTATGCTCTTCTTGTGGGGAGTCTTGCCTGGCCTTCGAAGGATTTTGTCTGGGAGTGGGCGGATGCAGGGTTTTGCACGGAAAAAATCAGGTTATTCGGGTTTTCACAGGAAAAATCAGGTTATTCGGGGTGAAATCTGCAAAATACTCCGCATTTGTCCTTCCTTCTCTGCCTCCGCCTGTAGAGAGACGGAAACCTGATAGATCCTTCAAAGGGCCGGATCGTTAGAGAATTTCTGTTTCCCCAGAAAACCACCTGAGCATGTAAATCTCGTGTGGGAGTAGATGCTTTCCCATTCCCAGCACTTTTCTCCGCTGCCTTCTCTCGTGCTGTTTCCCGCATATTTCCTGTTATTATTCGGAACTCCCGCAAAGCTTCTTCCAGAGGCGAAGGGAAGCCCAGAAAAAAAGCACGCCCAGAAACAAAGCGTGCTCAAGCACCCCCACGGAGTTTGGGCCACAGAAAGAGCCTCCTAGAACGATAATTTCACACATAAATTGGAAAATTCCGGATTTCTCCAAATGTTTTTTCTCTTTATAAACGCACTGGCTTTTTGATTCCGCCCTTTTTTGTATGTGACCCTTTTTTGCATAAATAAAAATATTTGTGGAAAATTATTAAGATAATGGGAAGAAGCAGCTCAGAAAAACGAAAAAACATACTATACTGTGTTTTATCCGTATTAACAGTTGCATGCGTTCTAACTATTTTGAAATTCTGCATGGTAAAGAAGGATTTCACAGCAGATCCTCAGAAGGAAAAACCTTCGGCCAGTCACTCCATCAGCCCCATTGGTCTCATGGCCAGTCCCATTATTAGTCCGAATAGTCCCACTGACAGTTCCAGTATTAGTTCGATTAGGCACCCAGTCAATAACCCGAATAACCCGATTATTAGTTTGATTAGGAACTCGGCCAATCGCACTATTAGTCCCGTTACTCACTCCACTAGTCCAATTACTCACACGATTAGTCCCGCTATTATTCCGATTAGTCATACGGTCAGTGACTCGGACAATCCGATTACTCCCACGGTCAATCCCACTACTATTCCGATTACTCATACAGTCAGTTCCAATATTACTCCTGTTTTTTCCTTCGTTAGCACACATGAGATTGAAGTGAAGGATTCCATCTCCAAAGCTGAAAGTCTCCCTGGAGAAATTTATGCTGAAGGCGCAGCGGAAGAAGAGGCAGACGAAATTTCTGTAGAAAGTGTCGAACTAGCCCCGGAGGAGCCAGAAACTACAGATTCTAGGGATTTGAATACGCTAGTGCACAACGCCATCAAATCGTCAAACCTCGCGTCTTTTTCTGAGGTCATTCGCAGGCTTGGAACCGGAATAACGGAAAAATACAACGCACTTTTGCACATAAAAAAGAACGTGAACAAGTACATAGATCTCATGCAGATTCCAGGCTTTGACTTTTCGATGGTAGACCAAGCAATCGAGTTTATCCGCAACAATGCCCCGAACATGGGCCAGCACAGACTCTTAAAAGGCCAAGGATCTTCTTTGGAGAAAGACGCCAAGAACACTCTCGGGAATATTATGGTCCTAGTCCGAAAGAATGAAGTAGGAGGTTTAAGCAAGAAAATGCCTGTTCTCCCGCATACATACGTGTGTTCTCGCTCAAAAGGGTTCTCTTCTGCTCTGCAGCTGCTTTTGACCATCCCCGAAATATGCAATGACTTGAAACGCCTCTCCTCCGGGACTATCACCCGCCTGGCTGAGGATTGGACCTTGGAAACGTCGAATAACAACAAACTATACACCATACTAGCGACACACCGTATCCCCGACGCAGATATCGCGTGGTTTTTCAAAGGATTATCTTTCCTCTCAACCGTCATTCGGGGAATTGTGAAGTACAACAAGAAAAACTCTCTCCTGGAAAAGTGCGAAAATGAGCTGGAAAGCTTTGAGGTTTGGCTGTGCGAGACTGCTTTCGTAAAGGAGCAATTAAAGGCCATTGGAGAAGACACTTCCAAAGCCTCCTGGTGCATATACCGAATTCTCTACACTATTGCGGCAATCTTCTACGAAATATCCTACGAGTATGCAAACCGGCTTAAGCTTGAAGGGACGCTTATGGTGCGACCTGATACGTACTATAGAAGCAAATTTTCCACGGGAGACCTCAAATATCAGAGCGAATACACCTTCATGAGCGTTATCCCGAAGGCTCTAGGCGCTTTGGACGAGTTCTCCTTTAAAACCACGAAGGATATAAAGCTAGAGTACGTCCAGTACTTCGACAACGAAGAACAAGTCCGGAAAATTGTTATGATCCCAAAGTCGCAAGAATCCTCCTGGCTTCTTGAACACATAATATCGTACATTTCCCAGCTCTACAACAAGCCAGAGAAGAACATCCACCCGTTTTTCATCGACCCAACTACGTCCAGATGGAGCTGCTTGGCCAGAGACTCCAGTTTGAAAACCGCGTTAAGTGACAGATACGTATTCTACTACATAAAAGAGGCTGATTCCTTGAACAGTGCAGTGCAGCTTCAGTTCGTAAGTCTTACAACGTTTTCAAAGGGGAAAACTTCACCCTTAAAGAACGACTTTCCTGTTTTCCTGGGGAAGTTCATGGTCGAGTCTTTGGCCCTCGCAGGGTACAAGCTCAAAACAGAAAATTGCCCAATGGAACAGAGCATGTACATTTCCTCCCTGGAGGGCGTAAATGGTATTCTTCCGCACATATACGAGGAAACAAGGATTCTGAAGGGTGATGAGTCTTACTCCGTGAACTTCATTTCCACGGACAATCCCTATTTGACGTCGGAGTTGGGCCTTTACGTTGCAATGAATTCTCTAGAGGCGAAATTACAGGATGAAAGGTATTGTCCCACGCAAAATCATATTACGTACTACACGAGGGATATTGAAAGGGGGCAGTACTACAGCGTATACGCCCCCTGGACTCTAACGAAGCACTTAGACCCATACAACAGAAGGGATATACAGGGGAACGAGCTTAAATCGCTCATTTTCACGCAGGACGAGCAGAAAAATGCAGTTGGAATCTTCACTAGCACTCCAGAGAGTTGCACGGCAAGACTAAGCCTTTTCTCCAGCAGAAGCAAAGCCCCAGAGACTCTGGAAGGCTTTGAATGCAACGGGAACTGGAGCTTTCCCCCAGAGTACAGATGCCATTCTATGGTGATGCATCCTTCTTGGCGCCTCCTGAAAGAGCAGGCTGGAATACGCGGCCGCATGATGGACCTTCTGCTCTTTGAAAACCAATAAACATCCTAGTGCCACATTCCCTGGTCTTTCTTTTCTCTTTTCTCCCTGCACTTGAAAAAGCGTATGTTTTTATGGGAATTGGACGAGTTTATATTTCTGTGTTTGCAAAACTCTGCAGAAAATTCACGGGAATGCTCAGGGAAAGAAGAAGGGGAGAAAACCAGCAAAAATGGCCGGATAAAATCAGGGCTGAAAATGCAGGGAATGTTTTGGCATCTCCAGAGAAATGCACCTGTAAAAGCACGTGCGCTGGCTCCGGATATTTCGCAGGAATTTTAATATTTGCACAAAACCTCTATGAAAGAAGACGTTTATTCTATGACACTGTCCCACGCTAACGAGTCTATGGTTGCGGCACCTATAGAGGCCCCTAACTAAAGAGTTCCAGCACAGCCTGGGCCTTTTCTTTGGGAGAAATTCCAGTTTCTTCCCGTTTTTTAAGGGCTTTCACTCTCTCGATGTAGACGAAGTTTTCCGGTGTGTATGCTAATAGAGGATGTGGCATTATCGTATCGAGACTTTTCGCGTCTACTCGGTCGTAAAGCTCCAAAATAAGCCCTAAACACTCCGGCTTCTCTTCGCAGGTAATCATCAGCCAGACAAGGTCCAAGCCATTCTTCAGGTGTTCGGCTGCGGGAGTCCCCTCTGCGATTAGAGCATTTGAAAGCTCATTTGCAGCTTCGCAGGAGTCATCGGCAAAGACGCAGTCAAAGACCGAATAAATATAGGTTCTAACGTTTAGTATCTTGTGCGTGGAAATGGGGTTTTTTGTCTCCTGCGAGTATCTCTTCAGGTAGTCAATGAAAATCGAGCTCGCCTTTGGTAGCTTTGCGTATACCTCGGAGTTCTTGCACAGTAAAACGCCTGCATTCATGGAGATATACTCGTACGTGGATTCAATAAGGGAGAGATTTGGGAAAAGGGTCTTATCGCCTACCACACACATGGGGATGCCCAGCAGCTGGTCTCGCGCAACTTCGATCTCCAAAGGATTGTTTACTACCAGGTTAGTAACGAATCGAGCGATCGTATGCGAAGGATCAAGGACAACTCCGCTGGATTTCGCAGTTAAGCAGAGAACAAATGAAAGGCCCCACATAACCGGTCTGCCAACAATTGGCTGTATCAGGAGAAGACTGTTTACCCCGTGCCTTGGAGATAATCTGATTTTTTCAACGGTTTTTTCAACGGTTTTTTTCATGAATTCATCAACGTACATCCCGGAAGACTTAGCAGGGACTGCGAACTTTCGCATGCTTTGCCGCGTGTACTCGAAGAAAAGGCAGGAAGTAAACCCGGTCTTCTTCTCAAGCTCTTTCATGCTCGCCAAAAACCCGTCTTCTTCCTCGCTCAAAAGCATGTTAGACACAGAAATCGGGCTAATCGTGAGATGGTTAAGCGAAAAGTCAAAAGAAAGGCCCTGGACTTCGCCCGTTTCTGCTTTGGTGTACTTTAGATCGAGATTCCCGTATAAGTCGCTCTTTCCTTCCTTGTACATTTTTTCTATGTTCGTAAACTTCACCTCCACGTTCTTGTTCACTGAGAGGGCCGAAAAAAGATCCTGCGTGTATTTTTGGGTTGCACCTAAAACATCGTACAGCAAATCGTCCCCTTCTATCTCCAGTATTCCCATAAGATCCTGAAGCGTCTGTTTTTCCTCTAACGGACGCCCTGAAACATGCGAAATAACGCACAAAAAGTTCAGGAAACCAGTCTGCATCTCGCCCCCAGTCTTTTCTATGTACCTGATCCCCCCGGGGAGCCCAGAGACGACTCTGTTCCACTCCTCAAGCACCCTTTGAGAGGTACATTGTTTTGCAGAAACGTCTTTTCTCTGGAAAAAAGCCTGCAAATCCCGAGTTTCTTCAGAATTTTCCGAGTTCTGGAGCATTTTTTCCACGTTGTATTCCTGCTTCTCCGGATCGTATGCCAGGCAGCAGAAAGCAGCGTAAACTCCCGCTTCCACGCAATTGCTGAAAGAGATTTCAGTAAAGGCTAAGTCTTTCCTGCTGTATGCACGCACGGTTTTATACGCTGGAACAAGGGAAGTGTCCGCGTATGGGAACCAGCTGAGCCTTTTTTCTACTGCAGCCACTCTCGTAACAGGCGAAAAAAAGGCTTTCTGGGAGAGAGAACTTTCCGAAGGCACAAAAAGTGTCTTGAAAATCTCGTTTCTGCCTTTACCACTCTTTATATCCACCATAATCTCATGCACTGCTTGAATAAATCCAGCTAAATCCTCTTTGCTCGACAAGTACTCGAAAATGTACGCTTGCATAAGGAATTGCGTGCTATTCAGAAACTCCCCAGACTCAAATTCAGAGAGTGTTTCGGGCATGGAGTGTGTTTTCCCATACTTTTTCAGGAAGCGAATAGTCACAGCAAGCTCTCGTTTATGGCTGTCTTTTTTCGCGAGAATTTTATTCACCCCCGAGAGAGGTTTCTTCGGGCTTTCGCTGGGGTCCAGAGTTTTCGGGAGAATCGGCACGTCTACGCCCACACTCAGCAGGAAAAGTGATGCGAGCACGCGCAGGGCCTCTTTCTCGCTGAATTTATCCCTTAGAAATTTCGTTACTGTGACATCCCTTCCCGTTTCTATTGAGAGATTCCCGTCCACGGAAGGAAAGAGCTTTATAAGGACTTCGTGGTAGTGCCTCAAATACTCTGCGGAACTTAGTCCTTCCTCGTTTTGCAGTGGATATGCTGCATCCTTGACGTACTTCCTATCATAATCGTACATTTCCTCGTCGTCTGCCGGTTCCACGTACTTTAAGCTGTAGCTTGTCTCTATTCCCGGGGAAAAAAGCCTCTTATTCTGCATATATCCTAACTGTGTGTAAATGTATGCGTTTACCATGTTTAGCGGCCCCTCCAAGTTTACCCGCAGGCCACCCTTCTCCGGGTCATCTATTTCTCTCTCCAGCACCTCCAAAGCGTCCTCCAGCGAGACCCTTGCGCCCACAAGGCACATAGTCCCAAGAAATGCGAGCACTCTCATCTGTAAGAAAACTGAAAAAATCATACAATTCAACTGAATTTTCATATTTATACTTATATTTATACTTATTGCATGGGGTAAAAATCCCAGGGGAAAAATATCCAATCCGAATCAAAGTCTTCACCCGTAAAAATTTAAATCTTATCTAAATCTAAAAGCCTCTGGAAATTCCAAAATGAGACTTTCTTTCCGGAAAATTCAGGTAATTTTTCTCTGATTTATTTCAGCAGTTTCCTCAGGTCCGTGTTCGGATCCGAAGTCTTCTTCATCACTTTTGCAACTGCCATCTCAAAGTCGTCTTTTGTTACATGCGTCCTCCTCTCCCTCAGGGCGAACATTCCTGCCTCCGTGCAGACTCCCTTAACCTCAGCCCCGCTTGCACCCGTTAATTTTGCGGATATTTTGGACAGGTCTATATTCTTCGTGAGGTTCATCTTCCTGGAGTGGATCTTCAGGATCTCAAGCCTGGCCTCCTCCTTCGGGGCTGGAAACTCTATCTTCCTGTCTATCCTCCCAGGGCGCAGAAGAGCCGAGTCCAGAATATCTATTCTGTTCGTGGCCATAATGACCTTTATGTTTTGGTGGGCCTCGAACCCGTCCAGCTGATTCAGCAGCTCCAGCATCGTCCTCTGGACTTCACTGCTTCCGTTAGACCCCTCCACCCGCACGGAGCCAATAGAATCAATTTCATCCATGAAAATGATCGAAGGAGCATGCTCTCTCGCCATCACAAAGAGCTCTCGCACGAGCCTAGAGCCTTCTCCAATGTACTTCTGGACGAGCTCAGACCCAGAGACCCGAATAAACCGGCACTGCGTGTGATGTGCGACAGCTCTCGCCAAAAGAGTCTTTCCCGTTCCCGGAGGACCGTATAAAAGCACGCCCTTGGGCTGGGCTATTCCCAGGGACTCAAAAAGCTCCGGGTGCTTAATAGGAAGCTCAATGACCTCTTTCACCTCCTTTATCTGCTCGTTTAGGCCTCCAATCATGTCGTACGTGGAATCCGGGGATTTTTCAACCATCATCAGCGAGACAATCGGATCGACCTTCGAGGGGAGGACTTTGTAGAGGGCATACGTATCACTTCGGAGGGCTACGCGCATTCCTGGCTTCAGACTGTCGTAGTCAACCTGAGGCTCTATCTGCACCAGATGCTTTCCCTCTGTTGTAGTTTTCACTAGGACCACGTTCTTCCCCATTTTCTTCGAGACTTCTCCGACAGTGCAGGAGGGCTCTTGTATGATAGCTATTTCCTCTTTCAGTTGTCGAACCCGGTGATTTAGGGCATCTTTTATTTTTTCGAGTCTTTCTATGTTTTGCTGCTTCTTTTCTATTTGGACTTTCAGCTCTTCGGCTCTGCTTGCATTGTACTGCTGGAGGATGTGCATCAACAAATTGCAAATAAATAAAATATATTTATGCACGAGAGTGAAAACATACGGGGGAATTGGCAGTTATTTCTGGGGGAAAGTGTGGGAGTCGGAGAATTCGGGTTATTCTGTGGGGCAGGGTATACCTGGAGGAGTGCTCGTTTTTCCCCGGGTGAGAGACCAGTTTTCAGGGATACTCCGGGTGAAATTCAGGCGAAAATTCAGGTGAAGGTGCAGGAAAAAAGACTTTCCAGAGATCGCATCCTGCAAAGTGTGCATGGCATGCGCTGAGAACTTTACCCACCGAAAATGAGCCCGTATAATGCCCGAAACAGGCACGCCCACTTCCCAAGAGTGCCCAAAATCAGGCCTCTGCTCCCGGGAAGAGAGATTTAGCAAGCACGCCCCCAGGGAAGCACCCTCCCCAAGAGAGACCCCTTCCTAAAAAGTCCAAAATCTGCCCCTCCCAACTCCCTTCTCTCTCGATTATGTTTTTATTCGAAAGTTTTTTTGTGCGTTATGGAGGAAAAGCTGCGAAATGAAATTGCATCGATACTAGTGGACTCTATAGGGTTTGAAGAGTCTGCCGTTAAAAAGGCCATTATGAGAAGCAAATGTGCGAAGAATGGAGACTTTATGATACCCTTCACACAGCTCACAAAGGACCCCCACGCCATTACCAGCGCAGCCGAGATCATGAGCAGAAGCGAGTACCCCGTCATTCGGAAGGTTGAAGCGATAAAGCAGGTCCTTTTCATATACGTAAACGTCCGGGGCATCTCAAAGGAGCTTATCTCTGAAATACTTCTGAAGAAGGGAGCGTACGGAAGCACAACGGAGGGAGAGGGAAAGACCGTGGTTATTGACTTTAGCTCCCCGAATATTGCGAAGGTCTTCCACGCAGGACATCTCAGAACTACGATCATAGGAAACTACATACAAAATCTCTACAAAAAAATGGGGTATAAAACAGTCGCAATGAACTACCTGGGGGACTGGGGAAAACAGTTTGGGTTCCTGGCAATTGGCTATAAGAAGTACAAGGAGGAGGAAAAGATGAAGGAAAATCCAATCCGCCACCTAAATGACATATACGTGCGCATGAACAGGGAGGCAGAAGCAGATCCCTCAATACACGACGAAGCCAGAGAGTTCTTCCGACGGATGGAGGAGGGCGAGGAGGAGCCCGTGCGAATTTGGAGGCAGTTCCGAGACTTGAGCGTGGAGAAGTACAAGGAGATGTACGCGAGCATGAACATCCACTTTGACGTATACTCCGGGGAGAGCTTCTACGGGGGAAAGGCTGCACTTGAAAACATCGAGGGAAAGAAGTACCTCGTACAGTGCGAGGACGGATCGAAAATTGCTGACCTGGGGAAGCTGGGGAAGACAGTTCTTGTAAAGAGTGATGGATCAACTATCTATATAACGAGAGATATACTATCAGCACAGGATAGAATAGAGAAGTACTCCCCGCATAAGCTTATATACGTTGTAGCCAGCCAGCAGAATCTCCACTTTAAGCAGCTGTTTGCTCTTATGGAGATGGACGGATATAGCCCAGAGATGTTCCTGCACGTGAACTTTGGGATGGTTATGGGAATGTCCACGCGAAGGGGAACGGCAGTTTCTCTTTCGGATATTATAGATATAGCACAGGACGCTGTCTTGGAGAAGATGGAGGGAAGCGGGAAGGGAGAGCAGATTTTGGACAGGGAGAAAACCTCCAGGGAACTTGCACTCTCTGCAGTGCTTATCCAGGACTTTAAGGCGAAGCGTATAAAGGACTACGAGTTCGACATGCGGAAGAATACGTCTTTCATTGGGGATACAGGCCCGTATATTCAGTATACGCTTTGCAGGCTCGCAAGTATCTCCAGGAATGCGATTTATCCCGTTGGGGATGTGGAAGAGCTGGAATTTGCAGACTTGGGGAGTGAAAAGTGCTACGAGCTGCTGCTGCTTCTGGGGAGGTACGAGGCCGTGCTTGTGGAGAGTATCAGGACGCATGAACCCTCGGCTATTGTCACGTACATTTTGCAGATATGTCAGTTAGTAAACTCCATTTTCAGGGTCGTGTGGGTGGCAAATCAGCCAGAGAGTACGGCCAGGCCAAGACTTGCGATGTACGAGAGCATTCGGTACGTCCTGGCAGACGCCGTGAGTATCCTGGGGATGACCCCGCTTGAGGCGATGTAGGAGAAACAGCACGGGAATCCGACGGGATAACAGCAGAAGGACAAGGAAACCTGAAGAGAAATCCACAGGAAGTTAGCCCATTGCATGATGCTTGAGTGGAATAAAACATCGATAGTTTGATTATAATTTGATGATAATTTGGTGATAATTTGATAAGTAAATCCGATGAAAGTTAGTTGAATAAGTAAAATACATTGGAAGTTAGTTCATTGCAAGATAACTTGGTGATAATTTGATAAGTAAATCCAATGAAAGTTTAATAATAGTTTGATGAGTAAATCCAATGAAAGTTTAATAATAGTTTGATGAGTAAATCCAATGAAAGTTTAATAATAACTTGATGATGGTTTGATACGTAAATCCAATGAAAGTTTAATAATAGTTTGATAATTAAATCCAATAAAAGTTTAATAATAGTTTGATAAGTAAATTCATTGGAAGTGTTGTATGGTGAAGGCATATCTGCTCCTAAATTGGATATTGTTTTGGCAGCATTCATAAGCAATGATAAGGTAACAGGCATTTAAGCAGGTCAAGCCTAACGAATAAAGGCTGCTGTTTCACTGGCACTTCGGGTGTTGCATCGTGGGATATTCGGAGGGAATTGAATGGGGACTTTTCCGATGAAATAAATTCTGCCGATGAATATTTAAATATTTAATGATGAAAGCGAGAAGCAGGCCCCTGGTGGTTTTGGGGGGTGGAGGTCATACGCAGGAGATGCTGGAAATTCTGGGGGGAGGTCCTGAGTTCGCGTGTGCTAGTGTGGTGCACTGCGAGAGCGACAGAATCTCGGTGGATCTGTTCAAAAGCGCCTTCCAGGGCACAGAATGCACTGTTTATGCAGTTCCCAGGCCGAACAGAGTCCTGGAGAAGCACTCTCTCCTGGAAATGGCTCTTTCCCTCTTTTTCTCCTTTCTGACGGTTTTTCAAGCGAGAAGCGACTTTCTCCTGTGCAATGGCCCTGGATTGTGTGCTCCCGTGGCACTTGCGTACAGGATCCTGCACCCTTTCAAGCCCATTTTCTACGTTGAAAGCGTAACTCGAGTCCGCACTTTGTCAACCACGGGAAAACTCCTGCAGTACATTGCAAGTGTCTTCATTGTGCAGAGCAGGCACCTGGAGAGAACGAAGTATCCCCACAGAACGTATCATAGCGTCTTTAACGTGGTCAAGAGAGACCAAATAGCATAAACACGCACTTCACAGAATAAATAGCTAGTTCAGGTTAAGCAAAAGACTAGAATATAGCTAGGGTAAAAAGACTAGAATAAAAGACTATGCTGATAACCTATAATAATTTGAGCTAGATTAAAAGACTGACTAGCATTAACTGTGCACAGGTAGAGTAAAATACTATAATGAAAACTGACTAGAATATAGCTAGAATATAGATAGAATAAAAATACTAGAATATAGAATAGATTATAATGAAAACTGACTAGAATATAGCTAGAGTAAAAAGACTAGAATATAGCTAGAATAAAAACTGACTAGAATAATTTGAGCTAGAACAAAGACTATAATGAAAATACTAGAATAATTTGAGCTAGAATGAGGCTATAATGAGACTGTGCACAGGTAGTATTTATTATAGCTAGCCCGAATTGAATATAAGCTAGAGTAAGGCAGATAGTATTAACAGATGCACAGATGCTCTAGGCCTGCCAGCCAAGAAATTCTCTCAGAAGGCGCACGGCAGCAGATGAGACTGCAAAGGAGGAGAGAAGGGCAACAACTGCGCTGAGGGAGACCAGATCCTTCAGGCCTATTCTCGGGTAGTATACGCTCTTATTCTCCCCGCATACTCCCGAGAGATGGAGCGTCGTTACTATGGAGCGCATCACAGCCTCCGAAGCAGGTCTGAGGAGTCTCGTATTCAGGCTTTTTTCAAAGGAGAAGTGCACGGTGGAAGTTCCCTCCTCCTGCTTTATGTGCAACTTGGAGATGCTTTCGAGAGTGGGAATCCACCGGAAGAGGCAGAGACTCGAGTGTATCACTATCGTAGCTTCTCCCTCCGTGAACTCGTCTATTGCGCACGTTTCCGTGTACTCCGCCCGGAAGAAGACTCTCTGCTGGAACCTCCTCAGGAAAACTCTCTTCTTGACGCGGTTCTCCTTGATCTGGCACGTCTGCAGGAAGTATCCCCTCCCCTCGAGGATCTCCAGGCACTCCTTCGTATCCGCCCCCATCATTCTCTCGACTACTACCTCCACAGAGCTCGCCACTTTTCCCACGAGGACGCTTTTTCTCTCCACTCGGAAAAAACCCGTATACCAACTGCACAGGGAAGATACGTCTTTATACGTGCAAAATACCGTTATTTCTATATCTTGTGCCTGGATCCTCACAGAAGAGCACTCCGGCACAAATACGTACACGTCCTCCCGATGTATTGCATATCTCCACCCGAAGACCATCTCTGAAATCACGAGTATTCCCCGGTGGAGGTAGAAGTTCCCCCGAAATACTCTCTCGCCAATTTGAAAGTTCGCAAAGAATGTTGCCATGTGCTGCTGCCGTATCCCTGAAAGCAGAAACCCAACTTTATCAGGTATCAACTTCCTGCTGATCTTTGGCTCTCCCACGGGCGTAAGACCTTCCTCGTTCACTGGCCGGTGCTCGTTCATGATTTTTCTCTTTTGCCTCTCGATCTCCTCTGGGGCAATCCCGTTCAGCGTCAAGACCTCCCGAGAAATCAGCGGAGAAATCGCATTCTCCAGCGTCGTATACTGATGACTCTTTATCTTCTGCGTGCTCAAACACATTCCTGCATGCTCTGTGGATATTTTCTCCATCGACTCAACCTCCGTGAAAATTGCCTTCAGAAGCATCAGCGTGAGCTTGTTTGTTTGGAGGGAGAAGCTCATTTTACACTGCGTGAAATTAACGAACTTCTCATACGCCTGAAACTTCCTCTCCAGTTCTACAGGTTCCCCAGGAGTACCTGCCCCCTTCTGCAGGACCTGCAGGGCGTCGTACTTTATCTTTGCCTGCTTGTACTCGTCGCAGGCTTTTTTTATGTACGAGGAGAGAGACTCGTCTATGAAGGTGTAGGAGGAGATCGAGGGAAGGAGGAAAATATGCGCACTCTTCAGGACTCTGCTGTGGTTTAGCCTCTTAGAGGGGAGAGCTCTCGTGTAGATTTCTGACTTTTCTATCACTTCTATCGACTGAACGTACTCTGTGAAGGTTGTTCGGAGCCTCTCTATTTGCAGCTCCAGCGCCTTCTTCTTCCTCTCGTGGGACTCGATCTCTTTTTTGAGAACTTTCATGGCCTCGTATACGCTTTTGTGCTTCTCCAGAAAGTCACTGTCCTCCCTGCAGGCGTCTTCTATGGAGAGGCTCATGGGACCTTCGGCTGGTCTGCTCTTTTCTTGCATCGTGAAATAAAAAACCAAACACCTCAAGTACGCCAGAATTAGCCCATTCCCAGGAGAATCCAGGGAGATACTCGGGGGAATAGGGCACTCTCACGCCCACAGACTTTTTCCCCTGCAAAAACACGCCTTCTCTTGCAAGGGATACTTTCTCGCACTTTTTCCCGTCCCAGAGCACTCCGAAGTTCCCGTCTCAGCGGAAATGAAATGAAAAGCGTACAGTTTCTTTTTGCAATTACAGGAATAGCGCAGACTTTGCATATTTATATATTTATTTATGCCCCACGGCCTAGATCTAGGCAAGTGTTACAATGG